CGACTCAGGCTTGGCTCGTTGCTGTACAGAAACGGCTAGCTGACGTGAGGAATCTTAGTTGCACCGCTGGTGGTGCGCCGTTACGTAAGCTTTATTTGCACCACCGGCGGTGCACCTATTGGCCCCCCCACAAAGGGCAAGGCTGACTTATGCATCCCGGTCCAAGAGATAATGCGACAAAGCGAAACTGTTAATAGTATTCCATGCAGGTTATTTGTAAAACAAAAAAAAGACTGCGTTTTTAAAGGCAGGCACTATTGCTTTAAAGCTGCGTCTTGATTCAGAGTATGTATATGCTGATCAGGAGGGTTGAAGTTTAGTAAACCATAGCAAAATGCTAGTTGAAATTAGTAATATATAGTATTACTGCTGTAAGAAACATTAGCTAAAGATGTAAGGGAATGCTGGAAAAGTTTTGTTTAATATTACTATGAAAACAATATATAACGGAATGCTAGCAAAAGTGTAACGGGAGTGTAGTCAGGTAAGGGTGTAGAGGCATATTGACTCTTACTTGAGGAGGATCTATAGGATAGAGATACGCAGAGGTATATATACCTCTCCGAGACCCAGACTAGCAGTGAGGACCTCCTTTACTGTAGATAGTGTGTGTACTGGTACAGCTACCCTGTGGCGCTGTTACAAAGAGTTTGTTCAATATACTATAAAAATAAGTATAAGCTAAAGATGTAACGGAACGCTGGTAAAAATTTGCTTAATACAGTATTGCTATACAAATAAATATAAGCTGAAAATAATAGAATGCTGGTAAAAGTTTGTTTACATAATATTTTTATAAAAATAAGTATAAGCTGAAAATATAACGGAATGCTGGCAAAAACTAACAGTTATTGTTGTGGCACTTGCGTCACTTAGGCAATCTTGAGAAAACTTTGTTCTTGGCCATGCTTTTTCTTTTAGGTAATTACTAGGCATATTGCTTTACATTCTGTATTTAAAAGTCTATCTTAGCTGTAGATTCCTTATGAAAAGCTAGATTTTGTATTAGTAATTTAGCTGTGTGATGAAGTATAAATAAGAGCCAAAACATGCAAATGTAAGAGTAATTTTTGGAAGCTTTATTCACACAACACTCTGATTCGCATTTTACAACCCCTGAATATCTCGTATTTATTTTGCTGAAATCAACACCTTCTTTGAATCTGTTGAATCTCTCTCAACGATTATTAACGATGGCAACCACCTTTACTAAATGGACTGATTCTCCGGGGGGCTACTCCGGCAAAGTCCGTGGAAATTGGGACGCTGTATTTGGACAAGCCTTCGCAGGCGCAAAGCAGAATATTTTTAATGCACTGATTGAAGAATCTGATGCCACCGAAGTTCATGTCGACACATTGGGAAAGCAATTCTTTAAAGATCATGGTTTTAAGTATGAGTGGAACGGTAATCAAACGAATTCGTTCACTGGGGAGCACGCGCATACCGACCATGACAAGCTCGGCAGGTTTAAGAACTGGCAGGGTAGCCGTAATTATAGGTTCGGATTTGAGATTAACAAAATTCCGATGGATTAAATATACATGAGCAAAAGTCGGAGTCTGTTGCACACAAAATAAAATACTCTGTACTGAAGAGGGAGAAATATCATGTCGGATTGTGATCGCTAATACTAGCAATTAAAAATTATTCTAATAGTAGCCTGAACTCTAGCTGAGATTATGGAATACATTGGTTCTATGGAAAAGGGGTTATAAAAGTAGCGAGAAATTGCAGCCGCCAGATGCGGCTGAATGAGAACCCAGTAGAGGGTTCTCCGTGATTTCATGGGTTAGATAGGGTCGAATTCACTACAAAAATCCTACACAGCTGGACTGCAGCGTGCACTGTACTAGCCACACTACGCCACATAATGGCCCGTGCGGAAAGAGATTCTAAACAGGTAAAAGCCGGACACTTCTTTCGGTCTCTTCTGTACTGTTCAGTAATATGATTAGAAAACATGTTGCTTAGCAATAAAGTGTACAGCTTATAGCACATGATTACGCCTCAAGGCCGAAAATTTCGTCACTAAAGGTGGAACCGACGGGTAATTGCAACGCCAGAATTAGTAAACCCAATTACTAGAGCACCTCGCAAACGCACAGGCGTGTAGTTGGGCTACAAAGCTACGTGCCCATCTATTGGTACTTTATCAAATCTTGTTTAATCTCTTCCGTGGTACATTTGAGAGCAGCTGGTGAATTTTACCATCAAGCTCCTAAATAGCGTTCCTACCGCTAGAAAGGCTAATAAGTCTATCCCATTGATTCGTTTGTTTCAATTGTTAGTCATCAAACGGCACACCGACTACTTATGACTATGATATGATTCCAAATACAACGTCTACCCTAATCAAGACGAAGCTGCTACAGAACAAACAACCGCGCCTATTTATACTCCATTCTTCCTGGAATTTGTCCAATATATCGACCGAATATTCTTCTCTTTACATGTATTGAAGTTGAGGTCTTCCACATTAGCTAAGTTACTCGCTCACGTTAAGACTATCCCTGAACTGTCTCGACCAGGCATACCACGGCAGCAACGGCACGATGATTATCGCTAGAGAGTTTTTGCTGTCGTGTATGCAAGCCAAGTTGTCCTTAAATGCGTAATACTAGCTAATTATACATGTTGAAAAGGCCTGGCGTTGGGGGGATCATACGCCCGCAGCACCAACACTGTTTCGGTAGAAAATGGTCACATTCACGGCCGCGAAAGTTTCGTCGACAACGACGGCGTGAGAATTCACTACAGATCATACGGCTCTGGACCTCTTCTTATTCTGCAACACGGTTTCCCAGACAGAGAGACGACCTGGAATACCTTTCAAGTCCAAGAGTTTGCAAAGAAATATACTGTTGTGACTCCTACACTGCGAGGTTATCCACCAAGCGATGTCCCGCCGGAAAAGAAAGATTATGCTGCTGCCGCCTATGTTTCCGACATGTTGGCCGTGATTAGAGCAACTGGCAAAGGCCCGGCTGTCATTGTGGGACACGATGTTGGAGGCGGCATCGTGCAAAACTTTGCTTTGGCGCATTCGGATATGCTCAAGGGCCTGGTCATGGCCAACACACCAATTATCCCAGTTTTCTTCTCCTTAATTGAGTTTGACAGCCACCAGCAGCAGCTATCGGAATATACAATACCATACTTCGCATACCAGCCAGGCCAGCCGAAAAATGTTTCTATCATAGTCCAGCACATCTTGAACGAAACATACCGCGATGAGATTGCAGACTACTTGCAAAAATCCCCTCTCTATGGGATGCTTGACTTTTACAGCGAAAACTTTCCTGCGCCTCCATATGGACAAAATCTCAGTACTGAGGGCTTGACTCAAACTGTCCCCAGCGCCATTATCTGGGGAGAGCGCGACCCTTATTTTAGTCTGGCTATGCTCAATGGCCTCGAAGCCTGGTTTGACTATGGAATCAGATTAATCACGATTCCAGGAGCAGGTCATTGGTCATTTAGAGATGAGCCGGCTCGATTCAATGCTGAGTTAAAGTCTTTTCTCGATATCCTTGAGTACTAGGACTGGAAACTCATTATCGATGGCAATATCACCGGTATAATCATTTCGCAGGGATGAGATATTGGTCGCCCTACCGACAGTTGTATAATGCTTTAATTTCTATTTTGAATAATAATAAAAGCTGTAATTCGCCAAATTTGACATAGATTCTTCTTCCACATTGCGTAAGTGTACGCTAGCTTATTTTACCCCTTTATCTACACACCTCCAATAATAAGTCTTTGCTGCACCAACTTTGTGTTTATAAGTCACGTTCTTTATGCTTCTTTTTCCCTCTTAACGACTGATATCATTTGGAAAAAATATGCTTTTTTCCTTTGAGGCAATATTTTATTTGTAATTAGGACCACCGCTGCGGAGGGTTTAGTTGTGTATTGTGCGAGGCAGGAGTCGATAGCAGTAGCTATGTTCAATATAACATCCTGTCTGTCCCATTGTTGTGCGTTGATCTCTTTGATCTGGTCCATGTTTTTGTCTTTGGTGAGGGAGTTACCCTTTTGGTTGAGAGCGGTGGCTTCCTTTACACCGCTGAAGATTGAGGAGTTGAGTCCTCTGTCCGTTTTTTGCGCAGCTGCCGCCGCGCTCGGTCTGGCCCTGTTGAAGCTGGGGGAGGGCATGTTGTCTGTATCGAAGTCGTCTCCGAAGCGTCTTTTCTTCTTGGGAGTGAAGGGGAGCACTCTGGTCTCTCCTGACTCTGGGATCGAAGGGGTTGCCTCCTTCTGCGGTTGCGGTGCTGTCGCTGGTCCGGGGGCGACGATGTCAGTGCTGTTTTGGTTGTCTGGAGGGTTTGTAGATGTTTCCATCCCTCCAGAGTCCCCAAAAGGGACCGTGTAGCAGGCACTATACCATCTTCCAGTCGTTTATCGCCTGTAGCATAAGACTTTGGGGAATCACTGGTAGGAGGCGTATATCAATCCACATACACCTTTCAATAATAATGATCTTATTTCACGTAATACAGAGTGCTATAAGCGGGAAATGCATAGATTGTCCTTTAGGACGACCAATCCAGATCATAGTCGGTGTTTTCCTCCGTCGTGGTCATATCTTCTTCCTCTTCAGATACAGGATTGTCAATTGACCACTTGTTTAACCCCTTTAGCTGTTTGTCCGAAATATTAAACCGCTCCTCAAATGCCTCTCGGACCATTTTCCTAGCTCTTGGCTTAAAAATTGAGGGATGAGAAACAACAAACAACGTTGCATTGTAAGCTGCGTTGCTATCCTTGACCTCTGATTTGAAGTCGCCCAAGAGAAACAAATATAAAAGTCGAAAAGCCGAATCTCTTGCTAGGCTTCTGGATGCAATTTCTCGCCCTTCCTCTGCATCCCAGACCATCTTGCCTGCCCTGAAATCTTTCATAATATCGTGCAAATTGCGGTTCGATAGAACATCAACACACCAAAATTCGATTGTTTCGCAGAGCACGTGGTAGTCCTTGAGTTGGGTTGGCATCTTGCGTAAAATTTGGCGGAACCCGTTGGTCACTCTATCGTTAATAACGTCAAAGAAAGGCAAATCATCATGAGTTACCACAGCAGTCATGCTTTGACCAGCAGATTCTTGAAATCTTATATATGATTCAAAGTATGGTATCTTCTTTATATCGACATGATAATCTTTCGTTCCAATACAGATTGGAACAGTCGAACCTTTGTTGCTTGAGGGAAATGCGATATCCTATCTTCGTCAATATAATCTGCAAGATATAGCAATTTCTTCCGGAGTGTAAGAAGTTACCTCCATTATTTGTAAGAGCGAGTTCGATGAAAGCAAGCGGGCTATGGGGTAATCTTGTGGAGAAATGGCTCCCCATAAGGTGTAAATCGGCAATGACGTCGATACAATTCTGTCTGTTATGAAATACTATCACGTGATTCTACACGCGCTTTGTGCTTGGACAAAAAAATTGAGTACAGCGGTCGCCGACTTCAGTCCCAAGCATCTTCTGAAGATAGAAACATAACAACATAACAATTCAGGCGGGAACAGCAATTTAGCAGTTCCGCTTTAGAATTTAAATGAGCAGTCGAGTCGAAAAGGTTGGCCTGCCAATCTGCAGAGCCTGAGAAAAGCCGCCAAGGAGCTTTACAACATATCTGAATAGCATTCGGGGTAGAGGCTTGCTAAGAACAGCCTTCTTTGACGGGGTTCACAATAATCATGGGCCGGTATGATCGTTTGATGGGCAGGCATCAGGCTATTTATGTAAAGTAGCCAGAGTCAGAGAGGATTGCATTATACGCGATTTTTGAAGAAAGAAACAAGAAAGATATGATGCAAATAGTAGAGCAGTTAGCTATTCTCCAGGGCAATATTCGTCAGCCCATCTGTTTCCTGGTTGCACCTTCTTGGCACATGCCAGAAAGAACCTCTACTTCAAGCCCATTCAACTTGGTCACAAGTTTGTCAAGTTTCTGAAGAAACTCCGCATTGGTAACCTTTGTTCCCTTCGAGGTCCGGTAGCCGTTTCTTTCCCACTTGAATATCCGTTCTGTCATACCTTTTACCAGGTACTCTGAGTCGGCCTTGATGATGGCCTGTTGCAGCTTCATCCCCCCAACCCCCTTATTCCGAATGCTGATGGCCTGCTCAAGGCCAATGATACCAGCTTTCAGCTCTGCAATAACTATGCAATTGTTACGACCCAACGATTCGTAACAGTACGTACCAGGGATTAGGTATGGACCGAAGGACCAATCATACGAAAGTCGACACAGGCCGCTGTCGACCTTGATCGGCCTACTACGAAAGTCGACCGCCAACTCTCTTGCATCATTCAAGATCGTGAACGAGAATGAAAAAAGGACCTATGCAACCGTTGCGAAATAATGATGTATTCAAGCCACAGCATACAATGTGGTTCGTGTCGGAAAACCTTTTCGTCTCTCTATTGCGGCGATTGTGGCTCCTATCAGCAGAACAGGTGCTTGCAATGTCGAAAAATTACCCTGTCAAAGAAACAGTGTATGATTCAAACATTTAACAATAGCAACGGGTTTCCCTCTCCAAATATTCCTTATACACCCCGAAAGAACGAAAAGAGTTGCGAAGACTATAGCGAAGTCTTCCTCTGTCACGCTCGTCTCTACACTCTAGCCGATAGGTACGACATACCAGAATTACGCAAACTCTCTTTGCACAAAATATATGTTAGTTTGAAGGAGTTCAAACTTTATCCGAGCCGCATTGGAGATATTGCGAACCTAGCTGGTTATTCCTTCGAGAACACGATTACGGAGGACAAATTACACACGTTGATGGTCGACTACTGCGCATGCGTAAACGAGGACATGCTCGAATACGAAAGATTATTTCGATTAGCTGATGTTTCAAAAAACTGTCCGCACGTTGAGCACCTGTTGTGCTCATCGACATCGTGCTCGTAGAGCTTCTCTGAGGTAGCGAATTTTATGTTGCAACAAGTGCAAAAAAGGTGCAATTCCTCCAAGTGGTCATTAAGATCATCGTGTTCTGCGAAATCTGGCGCTGGAGTGCATAAATGGTAAATGTTATGACTTTGAAAATCGTGAAGATACTGCTGCTTGGCAGAGTTTGAATTAACCCTCTTGTTACATCGGGACAGCCGTAGGCTTGTCGCGAAGGCATTGCTGCTTCTTCGGATCGCTCTTTGGCGGCTTTTAGGTTATTACTAGCTCACTCTCGTGCGGGGTTGTGATGTTTCTCAAGCTTTTTATGAGCGGGGAAAAGTCGTGCCGATTTCCTTGGGTCGATTCATTGACCGGCAGCGAATCCTCATCAAGACAGCCTAGCTTGACAGCAAACTTATCAACCATTAGTTGGAGGTGTTAAACACTTGTTCGCTAAGTTTCGTGACAAAGGGGAAATATAGAATCTTTATACATATAGACAATCTGATAGAGCTAGAGAAGGCCTCAAGCGTGTGTCTTCACAAGACGAAGACTGCTTTGTTTGACGCGTGCCATGGCCTTGACAAGAGGAAGATGAACAGCTTCGTTCCTCGTAAACCATACTGCATAGCACGGTTCCGCATTGTCAATCTCGTACAGCCGGTAAGCGCTTCTGCGCGACGATCAGCTTTACGAAGAGGCCTCTTTGTAAATGGTATAGGGTCGCGACTGTCGTTCCAGTCGATTTTCGGAAGAGGGTAATTCCCATCAATGTATAGGCTCCAGGCCTCAACTTCCTGCGGAGGCATATCGGCAGTCGCAATTTTTATAGTATCGCGTTCCTTGATTGTAGCAGCCGCGTAGTTTGTCATGGAGGCGATACTCTGCCCATGGCGCATAGCGTCGGCCAGCGCTGTCAACTTCCGTTGGAGAACATCGATCGAGTCACCTTTCTCGGGGATCGGTACCTTGTCGATGTGACTCACGGACTCAATAGTTGACTCAGCTAAGCCTTCCGTCGATAAGGTTTTCGACTTAATCGCAACTTCCATTGCGTTCACCAGCCGAGCGGTTGGGTAGGTATCGTGGTGCCTTGTGTAAGTCCGTGCTTTCCCCCAAGATGGCGCGTAAGACATCAATATTGGTCTTTAACGCAAATCTGCACTACATGCATAAGACAGCAGCTTCGGGTTAATTGTACTAGAGACTAAGAGCAAGTAATTTGCTGATTCCTGTCTGGAAGGGCTATCGAGTTTGCTAGTAAATAATTCCATTTGAGTCAGACTGGGAGCGAGACATGATTCTACATTTATAGAATTTTAAGGCAATTATTGTAGTATACCATATACCACGCAACCGATTCAGCAGGTTTGCTTAATATACATAGAGTGTGCCTCCTCTTTAGTGTACCTTTTCAAGTTGTTGTCCATAAGCAGTATCTGTCCCATCGCTATGTATTGTTTCTTTTTCTTTTTTTTTTTTTTTAAAAAAAAATAATAATAATACTGTTTACGGTCTTTACAACATTCATTAGAAAAACTTTGTTCGAAAAATATGGCGTTGTAACTGTAGAGTATTGCTGGTAGGACCGCACGTACGTTACAATTCCTGACAGATACACTGGTTAATCCCAGCACTTCTTTATTCCATACACTTCATATCATCTGTAGCTGAGCGTGGAAATAACTTCTACTGGCGCCGACTAATATATGAGTGATTAGTGCCCAAGGCAACCCCCAATCCCACATTCCGGCCAGAGGTTCGTATTATGTTCAGGGAGTAAGAGCCATAGAATACGCTGACGTCCCAGGTTCAGCGCAGCGCACGCTGGAAACTTACTCAGTTCGTTTAGTCTCTTAAGATTGCCAGAAGCGGCTCATCTAGAGAAGAAAGCTAGACGGATCAGCGAGGCAACCTTATCTTGCCTTGGAAAGGGAGCTGCTTACAGACATTGAAGTCTCTGACTGGCAAGTCATCGGCACGCAGTCTTGGCCACTGAGGAAGAGTCGCATTTCAGTAATGAGACACCGTTCAGCGCTCTCCGAATTGTGGAAGATTCAGAGGCAGGGGAAGATGTTGCTAGTGGCCGACAGCTTCGACCGCGAGGTGTCAGGTCGCAGAAGCCGGTTAAAGTTCGGACGAGGCGCTTGCGCGGTTGGCCACACTCTTCATCATTGATTTTTACCGAGGCTGGCGTCGCCAAATGTATTGTCATGTGCAATAGCTATATCAAGCATCCAATTAAACGGCGTCAAGTGACCTCTTCCATTTACTCCTTCGTTCCCTTTGTTATGAAGCTTCGAGCTCTATACTTTACTGTATAATGGAAGAAGATTAGACGTACCGGGCATTGATAGAACGTGTAGACGGCCCTCATGCAGGCGTTGACACACACAGTCCGAGAAGATGCCAAAGTCGAATCCGTTGAAAGAAGCAAATTTATCTGTTCACCCTCTTGCCGGGTCCATCATTCTCTGGCTGTGGAAGTAGGACGGAGACTGGAGGGAATCTTTCGGTTTGTACGTATTTGATTGAATGCGAAAGTGATGAATCTTAGATGTATGCCCCTTCCGACACATCTTTACTTTTCTGTCTGACTCTACGCGACGTGTGCTCATGTCTTGTGGTCTCCGGTACGCAGTATGCCTTTCACCGAGAAATCGGATAAAGAGCAGCTCTCAACAGGCGGCGTGCCGAAGTGTTTGGTCCGTTGGATGCAGTCCGTTGCCCGGCGCTACTATACAATACTCTGTCTGGGCTGTGCGATACAGTGAAAGGCGATCTCTTACAAAGGTGTCCTTGAGAAATGCACCTTTAAGGGTGGAAATCAGGAGAGCGTAGATAGCAAAGTCTACGATGGTGACGGGGCTAAAACTGTCTTTTGTGGTGGATCTTTTATCCCGAGTAGAGATGATGAGCTGACTTATCTTGGAGGCTTGGCGGAGGGCATTAAACGCTATTGCAAGCTCTTTTTGGGATATTTCCGGGTGACTCATGGCGTCAAAATTGTCTCTTTGCTGAACAGTGAAGATTAAGGCGATAACATCAAGATGGCAACACCAGAGCACAATTTCATCTGTTCTTTCATTTAATGGATGGTAGGAGTGCCCCGATTGAGACAAACTCGGATAGATGCATTATCGTGCTTTTAGCTGCTAAGCTATCGCCCTTGAGTTGGTTGGGTGGTGCTTTGCTCTACGGATTCTTAAGTCACTCTCTGGATCGTGACTTTATGATTCTATACGGACCTTTAGAATGGCGCTCGCAGCCTGCGGCGGAAATAAACCTCCGGTTCCCCCTCTGCAAAGGTTCCAGAGCGCACAAGTGGTGAAAAACGATGGCTCACCTCAATCCTGTCACCATAACGACTGCTCCCAGCCAGGAACCATTCACGCTTCAACCACTCATCAGGCAGGCGCTCAGCACTCGGCGCTGCATCGATGTGATCCCAGTGCTGGCTGCGACGCCCGAAGACGATGACACTCACGCCATTAGATTGGTGCTGGGGGACCGCGAGCTGTGCATCCAGGCCTTGCTGCACCCCGACATGTTTTACCTAGTGGAAAGGAGAGATGTATTTGTGGGATGCTATGTGAAATTGGGGGACTTTGTTATACGGTTCGAAGAGCCTGAGGGTGATGGGCAGAACTCTTTGACCAAGGGGACGCGGAGCATGACGAGAAGGAGAGAGAGAAAGAGGACGAAAAGGGCATGGTGTACTTGATTGTCAACGAGCTGGAGATGGTTGGATGGAACGAGTCATATATGGCAATGTGGCGTCGACATAAAAAGGCAAAGACGCTGCAGATGCTGAGCAGCCAGCTGTGGTCACAGGCAAGGTAAGCACAAACGAGCAACTCGCAGGAGAGAATCAGGGGATGGTATCGGAAGAGGCACAAACGACGCCAAAGGCATCCAGGCTAAAACGAGGCGCTGTCCGATTCGCTGACCTGCGAGCCTCGCCCTTAGTAAGACTCCCAGCAAGGCCAGATTCCAAGACAAAGACAAAGCCCAGAGTCCAGGACCTCTGGACGATAACAACGATGACGATGACGACGATGACGACCTGTAGAACGCGTTCGAGGCCTTTGAAGCCCGCGAAAGATGACGCCCGAAAAGCCCGCTGCATCCAATGCAAGGACGATAGCAGTAGCCAGTGACAAATCGCAACAGCAGCCAATTGCCTTGCCCGAAAATTGGCACGACCACCAAGTTTCCCTCAAACTCACAACGTTGCGGCTGATTCCACACCTCCCCTACGCCCAGAACTGGTCCGTCAATGTGCTCGCCACTGTGGCCTCGCTCTCGCCCGTGGAGCCGTCGCATCTGCCGCCGGGCAAGCAGCGCACGGCACGCATCGCTGACCCGTCAACGGCCAAACAGGTGCAGCTAACGGTGTTTCTGGATCCCGAAGGGTTCGCGCCCCGAGTGGGCAGCGCCGTGCTCCTCGTCGGCGTGAAAAATCATCGGTTCGATAGGGGTAGCCTGAAGAAGTACGCTAGCGACGGCAAGAGGGAGAGCGACAGGCGATGGTGGTTTGAGGACCCGTGGCATATGTCGTGGCTGGATGTGGCAGGCATCAAGAGCTGGTGGCAAGGCGTTGAGGAGCACTACCGGATGGCTGGTTGAGCGAGCGAATCAGTGGGGATCTTACGTTTTTTGTCTTTCCCTTTCTTTTCCTCATTCGTCCTTTGGTTTATACTGTACTCTCTCTTTCTCTCTCTTTGTCTCGACATTTAGGCGGGATTATTGGAGCTGGTGCTGGCATTCTTTAATTATGTGGGCTGCATGTCTTGGAAGATGGGGCGTTCTGCTGCATCGAGACGGCCGAGATTGCACAATACCGGCATAGATTCGAGATGAGCCAGGCCTACATTGCACCAGTAGTTTTATTCTTGGCATGACTAATGGGCGAACCCATTTCGACGTTGCGATCAAACTACTTACAAGGGAGCAGCCGTAGCGGTAACACAAACCCGGGGTAAATCAGATTGTATTACTACTACAAGAGATGAGTGTGGTTCTCAACTCCATCCATCCATCACCACTAGTAAATGCCAATAGACGTGCCAAATATTAGCGCCGCTCATCACAGGCAGAAGTGAAGCCCCGACAGCCCAGTTGAATCTAGACGCGGACGATCCCCGGCCCCATAAGGCAGCTGTGCCGATAGCAAGAACAACGACGACGAGCGAAGGCACCGAAGCAATCCATTGGCGAGAGACAAGCATCATGAGAGGAAAATGCGGAGGAGACGCAAGGGCGGGATCCAAACCGTAGCAGTGGAACCACGTATCAATAATGGATGCCATTTTCTGCTCTGCTTTGGAGCCTCTTTCCTACAGTGCGTGGATGGATACATGGGTCTCACGTACTGCATCCCAAGCTATTACAGGTATTGCTGCGCTGTGCTTGGGGCCATTGGGCGAGGGCTTGCATGAGGCTTGCACCCCTCTTCGGTCCTGTTCCCGCCCAAGACCCAGCAAACGCCAGTTCGGTGAGCAGATTTGAAGCCTGGGCTTTTTGAAGCGAATTGACAAACAAATCCAGCAGCTTCTTCAATACATAGACACGCCCGTCATCACAAAGCTTAGAAGCAACGCTACGGATGCAGAATCAGGGACAGAAACATGTGATAAAAAATGCTGCACTCCAAAATTCCAATTACTCTTTTTATCTAGGCCCCGCCAAACACCAAAAGGCTTTGAATTCTGATCCCACCATAGCCATGATGATACAACAGCTCCCGACCACGGTGAACCGGAAATTCGGCTATAACAATGATGCTAATATCCTCATTACTGATGCCTGCTTTGGCTAATAGTTGAAGTGTTGCATAAAGCGTCCTTCCTGTGGCAAGTACATCGTCCACCACCACCACCGATGCGCCCCTTGGAATCAAATCCAGGCTCATCTCAATCTTCTTCCCTTTCAAATTGTTAGGTTCAGAAGATGAAATGTGTGATGAAGGCTTGTCGATGGAAACAGTGGGTGGGGGAAGCTTGCCGGCTTCGCGGATTAGCGCCAACGGGACGCCAACTTGCTGGGCCAATGCCGATGCATACACGAAGCCTCCCGCTTCGCAACAGGCCACCATACCAATTTTATCCCAGTCATTTATGAAGTGAGTTTGTAGTAAAGAAGTGCACAAAGCCAACCCGCCTTGCTGTTGGGCGATGTTGAGCACATGGCGGAACTCGATGCCTGGACGTGGGAAGTCGGGCACAGGGAGTACCATACTAGCCAGTCGCTCCAGGTCCCCATGGAGAAAGGGAAGCAGGTACGTATCGGCAAACCTCCTTACCGCCTCATCTCCTGTTGCTCCATTGTCAAAGACGAAGCTGGGGCAGTAGTCCAGTGTCGTCGAATTCGACTTACAATTGCTGCCATTGTCGCTACTATTGTGATTTTCGCAATCATGAATTTCGTCTCGATCATCGCCGTCGGATTGGCATTTCCGGCGAGTCTGCCGCGTCTTTTCGCTAGCTGTGACCCGAATGTCGAGTAATCTGCTATTCGGAATTAGATGCGACAAGGTCGCAGTAGGCGCCTCATCTCTCATCCCAGTGATCACCAGCACATCCACATCTGCGGCTCCGGATACCACATTGAGAAATTGTTTTTCTAGAAGCCAAGATTGTTGTCGCATCTGTTCTTTGAAGAACGCCGTCAATGACGGCCGGTGTTGTTCCTTGTAAGCCCGATCCCATAACAGACCATCCAAGTCAGCGCCGGTAGCTGCTGCATATTCTCGCTTGATGGCATCGCTGATACTGGCCTTGTGTACCTTGCGGGGTTGGTCGGCAGATTTAGCGAGCATAGGAACCCAAACGTCGGCGCAGTAGTCCTTGCCGACGCCGCTTTCTCCCGTAACAAGAATAATGAGCTTCTGTCTCTTCGGCAGTTTCGAGAGCGGACAAGCGTAAGCCAGCACGTTGTGCAAGTCCAAGCTATGTTTTAGCCGGGCCAGGCGCGGTCCGTTTGGGCCGAAAGCCTTAGCCGCCAGCGCGGTGTCTCTAGGGTCTGGCCCAAGGTCGGCACCATAAGCTCCGCTGCTTAAGGGCAGCAAGCTCCTGGAGACGCCATACACCCACTGTATGGCAGCCTGAGTAACCTCAGTTCTGCTCTGGTCACGAGGCCAAACAGCGGTTATCACGCAGGCAAAGTCCCAGTCGCGACAGCCGAAAGCCGTGGCAGCATCCGCTACATCTCCGACAGCTCCACCTCCTTGTAGCAGATGAAGATAACAGAGCGGAGAAGGTCGAGTCTCCATGGCTGCTGCTAAGGCGTTTGCGATGGTCGTGGCCCCGATGTGTTTTAAGAATAAACATCGCTTGAATGAGGAGGTTTTGCCCCTACTGTGTCCGCCGTGCATCCCGGATATGTACATCTCAGTTTCGAATAAACCGACGCCGTCAACGGTCTTGCTGCTGTCTTCCGGCTCAAATATCGTACTTGTAAGCCTAGGTGGGTTGGAAGGAAGTGGATTGGAAGGAAGTTTAGTCGTAGTAGAGTCGATCACTGTCACGCCAAGGTGCATCTGTGAGTTATCTGAAAATAAATATGCGTCCGCGGATTTGTCTCGAGGGAGAGTTCTGGCATATTGATCGAAGTCCTGAAGCTTAAGTCGTATATCATGATCGTCTTTCAACGGGATACTCCAGTTTCGAACCAAATACTGCCGGGCTGCATATGTTTCAAAGACAACGCTGACAACGATGCCAAAATTAGTCCCCGCGCCTTTCAGAGCCCATAATAGATCGGTCTCAAGTTCTGACTGCACGGCACCGGCCGGCCGATGTCTACTTGGTACGCGACCGACGTACAGAACCCGACCAGAGGCAACGCTGACCATCACAGCACCCACAATGGCGTCGCACGCGAGCCCATGCAGTCTGGCCAGGTGTCCAACGCCGCCTTGCAGCCATAACCCTGAGCCTACACTTGGGCGGGCTCCTAGAGGTACTGTCACGCCTGCCGCCATAGTCTTGCTGACAATGTCTCCGGTATTACAACCAGCCTCCACGACAACCAGGGGAGTAGAATCGAAACTCAGTTCTCCTCCCCCCGTCTCAGCTGTGATTATGTGTACTTGATTAAAAGCACTCATGTCGATGGAAACGACGTTAGGCCAAAGACACTGGGCGCTATGGCTCCCACCGATGACGGTTAGGCCAACCTTATGTCTCAGGGCCCATTTCACGCACCATTGGATGTGCCCGATTTCCGTTGGCCTTACAATCGATGCGGGACGGTGGAGGCGGGCCTCCTGGTTTTTGATTATCCTGCTTTCAGTCATTAAGGGCACATGCGCCGTTAATTCGGGTAATGCGGTTGCATGTTTAGTAAAAGTTGCCATGACGTTGGGTGAACTGAACAGGAGATGGTTGGGGTCTGCTTTTTCACGACGGCCCAGTACGTGGCACAGCTCACGCCATTCGCCTCGGATAGCTTCATCTTGAGGGGTAAAGCCCGCGATGAAAGAAGTAAATCGGTCCAATGTCTCGTCGTCGGTTGCTATTCGAACGATCCCGGTAGGAAAAGAAGCCGTGTGATGACATACTAAGCCGTCAAAGTTCAGGTCGCCATCACGGTGGAATATCACCACTATTCCGCCTTCTGGGTCTTCGTCAAGTAATTTCAGTGCGTCTTCGATAAATCTGGATTTAGGTTTCATGCCATACATGCTATGGCAGAATAGGACGACATCAAACTTCTCATCATCACCACTAGTCCCAATGCTGGTACCGCTCTTTGTGTTTTTGTTGTCGTTGTCTGGTGCGAATGGGATCCGATGAATATTGGGGCGGCGTTCCAGACATGGCAGGGGACATTCTGTTCCTGAGCTGGGGTGAAACCATTTGTCTAGTCTCACGGCAAACAGGTCGTTGGGCTCGAATGCAACATATCTCGAGATCTTGCGCCTGACGTGATAGGGCAAGTATCCCAGAACGCTCTTTGGGCCGGGTCCGATTTCTAGCACCGAGATATGAAGACGCGATTCGAGTAAACGGTCTAGAAGCGAAGAGAGCTGAGGGACAATGAAGTCCTGGTATGTCATCCATCCCGAGCCCTGCACCAAGACGTCGAAACCGGCGCTGTACTGCGGCTGGGACAACGGCTGCGTTGCGTACGATGCTGTCGCTCTCGCCGTCTGCCTAAGGGTTTGCTTCAGGGTATCAAGAGTGGCCATACCGGCTTGATAGAAGCACGCTTTCGTACTGGTAGAGACAATAGAGTATGCTTGCGTATGGATGAGGATGATTTGATTAAGCTGAATTGCGTGCCTATGGAGCTGTTGCCGCTTCTTATCCGCCCCAATGTGGGGTGTAATAGAAAGGTTGGAATGTTAGATTTAATCTCATTCTCATGCTTTCTCTTATCAGTGAATATTCGCTCCCCGAAGTTGTTGAGATGATCAAATCCTGATTAGATTGTGGGTGGGACTTCAATGTACACGCGCGCGTTACGTGATCTCGGCAACATTAATGCATGGCCACGTTAGCTACTTCATTAAGCACAGGGGTTTTCAGCTCACCCTATCAACGAAGACCACGTTTACCGCTGGATGTTTCAAAGAATTTATGGGTTCCCCTTATGCGGATAAACCTGTTTTGGCCGGCCTCCCGCATGGCCTATTATGTGATTGTATTGGAAAGAGGAGGGGGGAGAGAGGGGGGGGGGAGCGAGATCCACGTTGCAAGACAAAAGTGCAATACATGTATGCATGTATGATGGACCATATTGATAGGTTATACGTCGATAGGTTGTTCTTAATGCGAGATTGATATCCATTTCCACCCTGAAGGAGAACAAAGCGCTCAATGCAAAAGGGACCCTTAAGCCCCAAGAGCATGTGATAACTAGAGTCAAATCTTTAGGAATCGAGTGACCATATGATAGTGAAAGCTGCAAACATTCAAGCCTACACCCGGTGCAGCAAAGAGCATTAGCTCTAGAGTATTCAACATTCCACAATTCATTGCGTTCAGCCAGATGAAAGAGTCACGATCATGTACTTAGCTATACCTGTAATCCATAAGCATGCAGCACCTTACTTCAAGTGTACAAGGCTCATGGAAGTTTTGTGATGTCATGCAGGACAATGAGTGGCTGGCCTCCCGCATATAGTGGCCGGCCTCCCGCATAAAGACAACAAATGGACCATTTCAAAGAGGGGGGTTATCGAGCCAAAGCCTGGCCGTTCTATGGGCTTGGATGACTGTAATTGGTCTATAATGCATGAACAATAGTACACGTATCGGTCGGCCTCAAAGGTTGCTAGGGCGAAAGGTGAGATATTATATGGTTGTTAATGCGCTCTGCTTCATGGAAAATAGCCGTTAAGATAAGTCCAAAATGGTATATTTATCGCCCAGTTCATTTATCCGTAAATTTAGTTGAGAAGTAACCCTGTTGCAGGATTATTCCTTTGGCCTTTGTTCCCGAGCCTTTTCAGGTCGCTTGGACTTTCGGGTCCACTTGCGGCAGAATTTCTTTCCTTAAATATCTTACTTCTTGCCTCTTTTCCTCCTGGTCTGTAACAGTTCACATGGCTAATCCCAAAAACGGTAGCGTCCTCTCTAAGAAGCGGGGCCATAACACTGCTATTATCTCTTCCCCGACCAGCCATGATTTAACGCAAGATGGGCGCAAAAGACGGAAGCTGCGAAATGCCGCCAGTGATACCCGAGACGACTCATCCATTGAGAAGGTTCTCGTCCCCGAGGATGGCATAGCAACGAAATCGTCCGGCCCAGTATCCGGTTCTGATGGTCTTTGTAGGTTACTATAAACTTGCTCTTTTACTGAGTACTCTTGCGGCTCGGTACGAGTTTCTTTGTATGGAGACTCACTTTTGAACTTCCCAGCGATCGAAACTAGAACCCGCCGAGGAGAGAATCAGGAACAGGCCGCTTTACGCCTCGAAAAGATGCAAGGTGCTGTGCGAACTTTGTTAGAGTGCATCGGCGAGGATCCAAGTCGTAACGGCCTGCTGAATACGCCTTCACGTTATGCCAAGGCGTTGCTGTTTTTGACCCAGGGCTACCATGTCAATGTGGAAGATATTGTGAATAACGCGCTATTTTATGAGGGCCATAACGAGATGGTCATTGTCAAAGATGTTGACATATTCAGCCTTTGCGAGCACCACCTTTTGCCCTTTACAGGAAAGGTAAGATCTTCCTTCTCCCGATGTGTCCTATACACTCGACCTGGGATAACGTGCCGGCTAATTATCTCTTCTAGATGCACATTGGTTACATCCCCTCCAATACCGTGATCGGCCTCTCGAAGCTTCCTCGAATCGCCGAGGTATTCTCTCGTCGCTTACAGATCCAGGAGCGCCTCACCAAGCAGGTTGCTTATGCCGTTATGGATATCCTGAAGCCTCAAGGTGTTGCTGTCATTATGGAGTCTAGCCACCTGTGCATGGTGATGCGTGGCGTTGAAAAAACTAATACGACAACCCTGACAAGCTGCATGCTGGGTTGCTTTAAGCGCAAGAGTAAGACACGAAACGAGTTCATGCAGTTTGTCGGAGTGAACCGGTAGGATGAACAGGAATCGGACTGACCGGCTTATTTGCGGATATGTGGGAGGTCGGGGTTATACGCATATCACAAAACGAGCAGTAAAAAGACGTTTTCGTGTATCCTGACTCTGTAATGGCGGTGCACGAGATAAGAAAGGCTTTCTGAAACGTAATCTGTCTAAAGAATCATTGTGGTACATTTGAGTGGATCTTTATTGATGATACTGGTCAAGAATGAATTGTACAGGACACAGACTGGCCGGATTCTGTATCGCTGCCTAGTAGCAACTAAATTTAACCCAGACTGAGAACAGCACGCATACGTAGCACTTTTGTAAGCTAATTATCGGGTGAGTGTTCTTATTCAAATCGCCCATCCTAGCGCTGATTGGACTATCTATTTTGTTCTATTCCCACGAAGAGAGAGAATAATGCATTCATTATTTGGTTGCCATTATTGGTGAAACAGATGCACACGATGAGTGAAAGCAAGCTGCGCAAACTCCTGTCCGGATCCCGCATTGCATCTATAGAGCCGAGGTGGGAGTCTGTTTTAATGACATTAACATGATCTTAGCGGATTGTGGAAAGGGCGGTGCTTCGACTTTGCGTGTCTGGTTTGAAGGTTCATCCAACAAAGCCGATGAACAACATTTAGCTACTTCTCATACTTCTACCTTGACGAACAAACGATCCCGGACGGAAACGTGAGAAGTATAATAGACTACCACAATATAATCCATGTAGCAAAAGATCTTGAAGCACATTAAAGAGCCTTCACTTTTTGTTGTACGTTGATGCAGGGGGCTCAGCATTTATTTGCAGAAAGGTGTAGATTGGAAATCGATGTGTTTGTGCTTTGGTATGAGTAGACTGAAGCTGTCGCCGGGCACGTCTAGAAATAATATGTCGCTTTATTGCCTTTGGGGGTTAATTCCTCCTTCCCCGATGCAAATGCTTGAGAAACTCGTGGCTCTAGGTTTTCTTCATACGATCATTTCCATTTAATGCGATTTATGACTCTAAGTCTCTAGCAAGCCTCCATGAGGCGGCCGTATCATGCGAGCACACGATACTTAAAGGGGAAGAACGTGTTACGACTCTTTATCACTACAAGTGCTTATGAGTACTCTTTCCTACCAAAAATTAGAAAGAACGTAAAGAAAGAGGAAGCTCTTTCTGCGCAAGACAATATGTACTGGCGATACTTCTTTTGAGTAAAAAGAGTACAGGATCTTCAATCTCAATTAGTAGCTGCTCGGTGGATGACCGACTCTCGTCAATCCTACAGTAAGACAGACTCTGGCAGACCAAAACACCTCCCAAGTATATCCAAATCTCTTGATTAGTATTTGAGAGACCGGCAGCTTTTACATACTGGTTCGCACTACCACTTAGAACATACAACTATTAGTAGTTGGAAATCCAGGGTCTCGTCAAATTCTTTTATCATGATTGTTTATTCCAAGTTATATTTAGCTTCCAGTTTGAGGCATTAAAGATGTAATAGTAGATGAACGCGACGGATAGAATGAATTTTGCATTATTTCTCCCGGCGATCCTTTCAATCTTTCACAGAACGGCGTCTCTTATCGAGAAGTAGCTTCACAACTTCGAGATGACCTTTCTTCGCGCCGACTTCAACGGCGTCGATCCATTCTTAGCCGCAGTGGTTAGATCAGCTCCCTTATCGAGAAGTCTAATCTAGGTCATTATTAGGCACCCCCCATAATACTTAGTTCCGTCATTTTTTGGAGCGATTTAAAATACTGATCCAATTTGGCTACCATGCGCCTGGCATATACTCTCGCCCGCATGTTGTCTGGGGAATGGCGCTGCGCCGCCTGCTCCAACCAGATGTGTTGTGCCTCTTCCCTTGAAGCCGTGTCTCGGGTAGGGCGAAGGCCAATCATCTGGCTTGGTGAGGGGTGGAGTATACAACTGCTACCTATCACGTGGCTGGCAGCCTAAGAAGGGGGAAATCGAGGCTGTGGGTGATGGCGTTCATAACCGACCATTATTCTAGCAAAATCTTTCAAAGGAAACTACTGTGATCAGTTCATGGTATAAACTTGCTCTCCCAACAGAAAGGCTAACAATCCCTCTCCTACTTGGATAGGCAAGAAAAAAGAGCTCTGCGCGACAACGATTGTTCGATGATGGCATGATGGATCAACAGATGACCCCATGCCGAAATGTTTCTATTCTTGGCTTGCTACGGGGGGTTCTCGAAGAAATGACAAAGGCAAATCCTCCAATCCCAGATGGATGGAAGTGTGTGGAAGAAATATTTCGAGCATCTCGTCATATAAGCCCCGACTATTTAGCCAGCCAAGAGGCACTTCCTATAATTAGATGGCTTCTTACACAATATAAGGACTATCAATGCGACGACAAGATATGGATGCTTACGCAAGAAGTCTTCGAGGCATACGGTCGTGCACATCACAACTGTTTAGCCAGTCGAGGAGCAGTTGCATTTACTATGCAAGCAATCCAAGAATATGAAAGACGTGGGCGGGGGGATGACGCATGGAAAATCGCGCAAAATATATGCAAAACACACTGTGATACAAACAGCGATACCGAAGCCGAAGAGATTGAAGACTTTATTAGATGGCTTTCCAAAGAATTTGATCTTCGTGGCCTCAGTAATGTCCAACGGATGCTTCGGAAAGAAGCATCTGGAAAAGATCGTCGTGTGAGCCGCGGGGGAGCGGGAGTTGTAAAAGCAGCAAGACGTGGGCGACGTTCAAGACAACAGATTCCAAATTCCAGCAGGAGAGTTTCTCCCAGGACACGTGCTCAGAATGGCGAGACGGGTATGAAGAAAGAAGCGAGTTGTTAGTGTTTTTGTTGTTATTGCGAAAGAGAAGTAGGCTCAATCCAAATTGAAGTATGCATTCAGGCGTTGTGCTGCGTCTGATACATTAATTTTTTAGTGGTAGTCTATTATAATTCGCATATTTCTGTCCGGGCACGTTTATTTTTAGGGTAGAGATATCGGAAGTAGATACTTATGTAGTTACCTTTTACTTCAAATTTTGCGTTCTTACACCACAATATGTTGGCGTACAATCCAACGCACTCATACAACAGCCATTCTCGTCTATCCCATCACTGCCAATGTGCTAATGATGATATTTTCCTATAGTTTCCGTTCCGCAACGGGTGATCCAGCATGCTTAATACCATATCGAAACTTGCTCGTTGCAATCTCTTGGCGGTGTACCTACCAATCCTGTCGGATCCCGACACCACTACCTTCACGCCTCGATTCGCCCCCCGTCTCTGCTTGGTTGGTTATTAATCGATATGGGGCCGCTCGCTTCACTCCAATGATTCATCCGCTGCCAAAAAAAACACATCAATGCCCGCCACTTGTCTCTGTACTTTCCCATGTCTTGGGCTCCATTTTCCCATTGACCGACGTTTTGGGCATAACGTATATTTCCTTCCGCTCAACTTCGTGCTCTATGGCCTTTGGTGTCTCCGACCCATCCGGTCTAGCGGTGGAAAAATGGGGATTAGTGGTGTCGTTGGTGGCGGCAACAACCACTGGCGTAACTCTTCCTACCTTTGATCAATGCTGGGGATTTCTTTCACAACATTGCTATCTTGTTTAATTTTACAAAATAATGTTGCTTGGTACATATACTGTTTCTTCAATAAGTTGCCACTTTATTGACCCCACATGCAAATCTACAATTACTGTAAATAAAAGTGATTTGCTGTTTCCTTCATAGAGGTAATGAATGTTTTGTACCCTGGGGTACGCAACTTGGGCAATATGTTTTCTAGGCCTAACTCAATACCCAAAGACAAATGACTTCTTACTATCGTTGGCATTGCGCACCTTCTATCTAAGGTGCCTCCTCTTGGATCAATGGCTGCACGGCTGGCTGCCGCCTTTTTTTCCGTAGGTTTATCCAGCTGTGCTTCTTGTGGCCATGAGCTTGTATTTTTGTATTTGGCGAGCGATATGAGAGCAACATCGGCATTTCATGCTATCAAATCTTGGGGGGCTCAAGAAATGATATTGGCTCTATGGTTAGCAGAGGAAACTAAAAAATTTCTCAATCGGCCTGCCTGCCGAACGATGATACACCTAAAACCAAGGCTGATACATTCTAAGCTAAGCCATGTCTAAATCAACTCTACTAGAATTGATCAGAGCCTTTCCATTGTAGGCCTTTTTTGCTCGGGCCACATACGGGTATTCATCGTATCCCAACCTATCCGGCTTTGGTGGCGGGATGATGGGGATTGGTGGTGTTGTTGGTGGCGGCACTGACCACTGGCGTAACTCTTCCTGTGTTATGATGATGCCTGGGACTGCCGTCACAATATCGTTAATTCGTCTAACCTCTGCAGCTACTGTATTGCCGGGATATGCTGTTGCTGTAAATGGGCTGCTACTTCATTGGCCACACTTGCAAACTTTGGAAACTTGCAAATAATGCAAATAACAAACGGGTACTCGGGCAAATATAACAAAAGGATTTTACATTCACCTGGCTACCGTTTTCTTATGAAAACAAAAACCCCCTAAAAATAATTTAAAAAAAAAACTAATACTTGCCTTAATACATAATAAATAACTTACTACTGTTATTTCTCTTTTTTCTTCTGCCTCTAAATGCAATGACATTGCTTCGCTTACCTGTAATTAACCTGTGGCCTGCTTGCTTTTGAATTTTTATATGGTGTATTACTAGCTTCTGTTTTTAAATCCCTGATCGTACACTAGCTTACTTATTCAACACAATCCACTTGGGACCGCCATGGCCGGTTGTACTGCAAACTTCAACCTAATAAATAACATAAAAAACTGGGCCGAATGGCTAAATAAATAAATAGACGGGATGCCCTCGTCGTTGGCTTTTGCAGCATTTGCATTTTGGCCATTTTACCAGCCCGGGAACCTAATCGCTTTCCACACCGATATTTAACTGCTTTCTACCCCCTGGTCGTCAATAGCATACTTTCTTTTCACGAGGAAGCTGCAATTGCCTTCTAGATGGGCTATTTTACAAAAAGATTTCCACAGCAGTAGAACAAATAGAGAAGGTTTCTCGACAGGCGGCGTACGTTTGATGTACGCCGCCCTGTAGCAATGAGGCTAATATGCTGCCGGCCGCTAAAAGTGGACCTAACGGGCAGTCTCGCCCACTAGCTGCCCCAGCATTTTCGCAGTTTTTTCTTTCCTTTTTCCGTCCACTTGTCTCCCGCCTCATGACTTTTATTATTATTGGCTACTAGGCAGTACATCAATGAACGGCTTTCAATGCTTTATTAAGTTGTTGGTCGTAATGAGATTTCGGGCTGTCCGCTGCCTCGTAGACCACCATTTTTGTTGAGGTTGGTTTCATCCTAATCATGGGGAGACCCAATCTTCGGCGGCGAGCCCCTATCGGCGAAAAGCTAGATGACATTGATCGTAATAGCCCGCCACGCGAGAGTTTGCGCGTCCCTCCCTCCCATCCTCCCCATGATGATGGGCTCCTCAATCGTTTGGTAGTACGTTCCTCCAGATGGGTGGAATCGCTGTGGTGGAGGCTGCGACAGAACGGCAACTACTTCACCTCCAGAGATGTACCAGGCGAACATGGCTGAAGCTCCGTGAACGTACCTAGACCATTCCTTAAGCGAATTATTACGATGGCATCGCAGATGCTTGATATCCATTAGAGGGCCCATGGCCGTATTCAGTGTCTGCATGCCACGTATGTCAGCCCAACTCTGGGCAGTTTTACGCGGTATACCGCTCCATAAGACCTGGCGATTTGGTAAGCAGGTTCGTTGGAATTGCTGATATATCTCGTAGCTTTCGCTGACTGTCAAGAATAGTTGGATGACTGCACGAATTGCTGATGGAGGCTCTTGTCCTTCTCAAGGAGTTCCATGAATATTGGGTTGGTTGGCACTTAATATAAGTGGGCTGGCCATGAATTAAAAGAGCGCATAACTCATTCTAAGTCAGATTTAGCCGCGACACCACGTCCAGGTTACTAAGTAAGTTGCAACAAATATTGTCTACGAGACCACGCTAGTCAGCCAAATCATCGCTAGTAATGATTTAGATTCTCACTATAGGAAATCTTACTATAGATAAATCCTCAAACCCAGACCATCATAGAAGCGGCAGCAGATGTCGTCAAGCATTATAAGTCCAGACAGCGGAGCTGTGATGCTAAGCCTCAATATGGTCGCTTAAAGCCTGGCTGACAATTGAATCCACGGGTAATTAGAGGTTCGTTAACACATCATTGCCGACTGCTTGCGGTGAAGTTGCATTTCACAGCATCATTGAGGTTGACTAATACGTAACTGCCCTCTCCCATATCTGCCCCACAGCAAGCCCAAACTTCGGTCCTCCATCTCGCGTTGGCCACCAAATTCCCGGACACTGTCTAGCCGCGTTCACCTACGCCTACTGCTAAGACGGCACAAGAGCGTAGCGTTTGTGTCGAAGTCAGATCGCTGCTTCCACACATTTACTATGATCCCAAATCTTTAATACATGTAATTACTGTCACCATGGCTACGGACGCCGATCTCCTCAAGGTTGAACAAGCATTTGGTTACACTTTTGAAAATAAAGAAGACTATACAAGGGCAAAAGCGTGGCGTCCAATCTCGCTGCTTGCCACCCTTGGCAAGGTATTGGAGTCCGTGGTAGCAGAGAGAATCTCACATGCTGTGGAAGTTTATGGGTTGCTCCCGACGAACCACTTTGGAGCTCGCAAGCAACGATCGGCAGAACAGGCCCTACTACTTTTACAAGAGCAGATTTATATATCTTGGAGGCGTCATCTTGTTGTAAGCCTCATTAGTTTCGATGTCAAAGGAGCCTACAACGGAGTATGCAAAGAAAGGTTGCTTCAAAGAATGAAAGCACGCGGTATCCCTGAGAAATTACTTGGATGGGTAGAAGCATTCTGCTCAAACCGGACGGCTACAATTCAAATTAATGGCACCTCATCAGAGATCAGAGAATTGCCCCAAGCTGGCCTTCCGCAAGGCTCTCCTCTATCTCCGATTTTATTTCTTTTCTTCAACGCGGATCTAGTACAACGACGGATCGATAGCAACAAAGGAGCCATCGCATTTGTGGATGACTTCACAGCCTGGGTTTCAGGCCCAACTGCACAGAGCAACCGTGAGAAGGTTGAATCGATTATCACAGACGCATTGGCCTGGGAAAGGAGAAGCGGTGCAACTTTTGAAGCTAGCAAGACAGTAATCATCCACTTCACCAGAAAGGACTATAAGAATGACTCTGCACCCTTCACAATCAAAGGACAAGTGGTCCACCCGAAAGGCTACGTCAAGGTTCTTGGAGTGATCATGGATGCTGAACTCAAGTACAAAGAACATATCGCAATGGCAGCTTCTAAAGGACTGGTAGCAGCAATGGAACTAAAGAGATTAAGAGGTCTAACCCCAGCAACAGCAAGACAGCTATTCGCGGCCACGGTGGCCCCGGTGGTAGACTATGCTTCGAATGTCTGGATGCACAGGTTTATATACAGGCTAATGGGACCCATCAACAGAGTGCAAAGAGCAGGAGCACAGGCAATCATTGGGACGTTTAGCACTGTAGCGACAAGTGTAGCCGAAGCTGAAGCCCATATTGCTCCAGCTCGGCAACGGTTCTGGAAAAGGGCAATTAAGATGTGGGTAGACATGCACACATTGCCTGACACCAACCCACTCCGAAGGTTGACCTCTCGCATCCGTAAATTCAGAACTTCCTTTCGATCACCCCTCTATCAGGTATCGACAGCACTTACGGATATCCCAATGGAACAACTAGAAACCATCCACCCGCTCACTCTAGCGCCCTGGGAGGAACGAGTGGAACGAGTTTGAATACAGAATCCCCGCCCCACCTAACCCTCATCTCCACTTGACTCTAACCTTCACCCCCCCATACGCAGCGAATGCCGCTTCAGCCGCCGAAGATAGGACACTGAACACTTGGGGAATAGCCCCCAAGCCAGTTCGATAATAACTTTACAACACCACGGGAATCCGCAGACAGAGACATAGCAAGCAGGGACACTTGACCGCCAAGCCGACTTACTACTGGTTAAGAAAACAATAACTCAATTTGGGCAATTTGTGGAATAGCATATTATGGGGTTAAGGAAACAAGATCACAGATTGGGCAATGTACGACTTCATATGGGCTTGAGGAGACTAGGATACAATTTAGGCAACTTGTGTATGTATTAGTAATTAGTGCCCTTTCGGCTCAAGTGCCGCCGGGCGTAATAAATTGTATTGTATTGTATTGTAGCTGCCCGACGCACTCGCTCTCAACTCTTGTTCAAGGCGTAAAACCTCAGGATTATTAGAAATCTCGATCTCTTTCTGCGTAGGTAGTTGCATTGGTAGTCCCTCTTCCCGAAATTGTCCTAGAACTTGGAAGTGCTTGACTGCCTCGTGATTGGCTGGCTCATCAAGGAAAGCTCTCTTGCTAGCTGACACTAGGTCCTTCTCTTCTCTACCCCTCGTCCTCTTCAACACTGGTGGTTTTGTTCAATTCCACGTCTTCACCAATAGCCTCTAGCAGTCATGCAAGTCGACAGCTGAGTCTATTCTCTGACTCTGCTGCCTTCTGAATGCGGTCTGTCTCGTATGGCGGTAAATACAGTACACAACAATTGCATCGGCGTTATTGCCGTTACTCTGATTCCTGCGATGGCTGCTCGTACAGGCAGTAGTGAATACTACATCTTGACCTCTGACATCGATCTTGCACTCAAATGAAGCGTCTGTCGAGCGTCGCGTATCATCATCCGCAGTGGGAAGGAGGGCATATGCGGGCCCAAACATGAGGCTAAGAATCCTATTCCACCAATTCATTGCCCGGAGGAGATGCCACAGTGTGACTTTCCTAGCGTGCAATGAGCCTTGCGTGAAACCAACTCTTCTACCCTGGTAGATGCGTCTCGTTACGTATTCGACGGCATTGCCGTTGATCTTGAGCTCTTTCATGCTGAGAATTTGCTGGAAGGCAGTATCCATGTTACTGAGATGCAAGGCGCTTGTGAACATGGCGGCAAGACCTAGCAGTGCTGAGCCCAACAAGGCGATGGATCCAATCTGCGTGCTGGAGTCGTCTTGCAGGGGCTTTGTTGTGTAGGTACTGAAGCCTGTAACGACGCAGATACTGAGCATGGCCGCAGCATTGGCAATAACACGCTCCAGGGCACTTTCGGCAGCGGTTTGGAAGCTGTTTCGTGCCTTTTCTTGGTCATTTTTCATGCTTTTCATGGCGGCCTCAAGTACTTTTGTCTCATTGAGTGAGCGCTGGATTGCGGGTGGACGATCCGTTCGCCCCGGAAGTACGGCTTCATAGGTCATAGGAATGAAGTCGGAACCTGCACTCGATTTGTCGATTTCAGTGAAATTGAGAGGGCTTTTGTTATCTCTGATGCAATTGAAGAGATGGCAGCGGTCCACGACAGCGAAGCGGGCCCGATGCAGGAGGCTCCATGCTGCGCCCGCACCAACTTGCGTGAGGAAGTACAGGACTGAAGACCACACGAAGCAGAGATGGATGAGGTAGCCAACTGCAAATATGATGATGACCACAAGTCGAGGCATGCTGTCGTTGCTCTGTATACCTATCGTGAAACCATTGAATATGACGGTTGTTGCCACTGTTGTGCACATCAGCCAGAAGCTGGCCCATTCCCAGATCGCCAGCTGAACAACGGCTTTGGTTGCTACTGAGCCACTTGTAAGCCAGAGATGACCACCACGGATTTCCCTCTTGTTCGCTCGGCATTCAGCACGGCATTGAGCAAGGCCTTTGGCGACTCGATGCTCTATTGATTCCGAGCTCAGGACACCGAGGTAAAGGAGCCTGATGTTGTTTAAATGCCGTTTATTTTCATGGGGAAGAACATGCCGATCGCAAGTCTCATCTGGCCAAGTGGTGGCGAGAATAGCGCTGATGTTTTTTCCTATCGGCGCGAGAGGAAGTTTGCTGACATTGATCAGGTAGCCAGCACGTCCAATCAAGACAATGTAGGTCAGCGCGACGATAATGATTGAGATGATAGATAAGTATATCTCGACCCCTTTCAAGCCATCACTTAGATGAATGGTCTCGTTCGCGGGAATAATACTGGCTTTGTTAGATCAGATGAACTGGAAGTAAGACGGTTGTTCTGAGAGTTCAATGACCGGGTGAGCGAGGATAAGAGAGACATAAGACGAGAAGACGGTGATTATTCTTCGTCGCTGTAACAGTAGCATCATATGCAAAAAATGATATGCACTTCTATCCAAAGAAACGATCTGTATAAGATCCGCCAGGAATGTTCGCTGAAAATTTCTCAATGCCATAGGGCGATGCAAAAGAGACTCGGCTACATTGCGGGGTGAAAGCGTTGCTTTTCAAGCAGGCAATAAACACTAAGCCAATTGAATCGTCGAAAGATCCCGACAGCTGGTTCACTGCCAAGGATAAAAGCGACTGTCTCGTCACCACTCGCGAAGTTACTTTCTTAACGCGCCATTTAGTGTCTGTGTACATGGTCGTGTTGGAAACTCACCTTGGTCAAGAAATGCCAGGTTTCCCATTATAGATAGGTGCAGAAGTACGGAAAGTCGGTTAACAATTCATAAGAATATCGCAATACAGGAATGCCCTGTAAAAGCCACAAACTTAAAGACATATTATATCTGTTTCTATAGAAGAAAGCTGTGCCGAGGATAGTATAACTATAAGATAATCTATATACTTTGGCCTAGTACTGTAACGCCCTCAAGAATATAAAGGTAATACTGGAATGCATAGTACTAAACATAGAGGAGATGGTCGTCTAATAATGGCGTAAGTATGAGATTAATTAGGTACTTTAAAATATCAATAACTTTAAATGCACAAGATAAGAGTATAGTAATTAGCTGTAGAAGTTGCCTATTCATAACAGCGTTGTTATAAAATAATATAAATTCTAAAGTAGTAACGCTATGAAGCTTCTAAAACAATGGAATGTACCACGCATATACACACATAGACTTTATTACGCCCGGTGGAGTCTCCTCCAATAGGGCAATGGAATGTACCGGTATAGCCTGAAGTATAAACGTAAATTAAGAGATATATAGTATAATAAAGTTTTAGATATATAGAGGAGCTGGTTATTTAATAATAGCTTAAGTATGAAATAAATCAGGTACTTTAAAGATAGCAATTACTTTAAAGGAAAAATAAGTATATATAAAGCAATAATTTCATATTAGAAGTAATAAACCTTGGCAGTTGCCAAGATGATTCTGCAGAATTGATAATGGAACACGAACTGCAAAAAAAAGTGTGAGATACCTGGGGTCTCTGATGCTAGGACCCTGTGTATACTTGATTCTACTAAATGGCAAAGAAAACTATACTAGAGTTGGATTACTCTGTGCTTGTAGATTGTTACACTAACCGTATCGCCTTATATAGGGATTTCAGCTAAGCTACAGTTAATAATAAACAAACAAACAAACAAACAAACAAGATATTAGGTTATAATATGAACCTATAGTTATCCCAACTGCTAGTTATGCACTTACGTCGGTCTTTAAGGCTCCCGTTTCAGAAGTCCCTAGACTAATAAAGCAAGTCCGCTAGAATCAGTTATCTCTCTGCATCTTCCAATTCCTTTCAACCTGCTGCAGTGCTTCCAGTTCCTCCTTATAAGCTACACTGGTCTCGTCCGTTAACACGGAATATATCGTGACAAGCTCCTTGTCGCATTCTTCCAGGAACATTTTGGCAAAGAATGGTCCCATTTCTGTCCTATCATTTAGCCCCGGTCTTGCAAGGCGTCTCATGATGTCGTGGTGTAGCGTTCGGCGACAATCAAAAATGGCCCGGAGCGCCCGACATACAGCTTCTCGAGACGAAACTCTTTGGTTACCAACGTAAACAGCTTGCATTGCTTCGGTAGCTTGTACTCGCACAGTACCAAATGCTTCATGAATATTTGCTCCAAGGCCCCCGCTACCTTGTAGTGGGTCACCACCACTCGCATCGTCATCAGGCAAGTCAACCCAGCCCGAACTGATCCAGTTAAGGAAGATATCACCCGAATCATTCTTAATATTGTCAGCCAGTTCGAGTGCCACAGATACGCAGTGAGGCTGTAGGAAACGCTCCAGTTCTTCGATACTGGTATCCCTTAGATCTTGTGATATGGAATCCATCACCACTGATCCGACTCAGTCGGTAAGACCACCTGCAACACGGCCACCCCAGGCCAATTGCCAAAGCATGCTGAAGCCCGTAGGATGATTTGCTTCCGAGGAAAGAGGCTGGAAATGGAAAACTTCGCCAGCTCGATCTCCAAGTCCTCGCCTGATAGCGCTCTCACATACGTCCCTGATTTGTATACACTTCGTTTCCAGTATATCCAGGGCGCCAAAGTCAATCAATAGTTCCTCAGTAAGGGCAGCGATAACCCGACGAAGGGTAGCAAAAAATATGTTTCTAGGATGTGATGAAGAAAAACCCTCAAACAGAGTCGCAAGTTCTGTCCCTGCTGTCTCTGTCTCCGTGGTTGGTGTGGGAGCTCCAGGGGCAATTCCGTGCCGACAAACAGTGCTGAAAGCTTCGTCGAAACCACGTTTAATTATCGCTGATACATCACCTGCCCATCTCGTCACCCATCTTTGGCCTATACTCCGACGCTCGACGTGGGGCACATGGCACATATCGGCGACTTCCTCGGTCGCTTCTGAGCCAAGACAAGCCAACAACAAGGACCGGATATTAAGGACAATTCTGTCCTTAAGCTCCTCAATGGGCTGAATTTGTCCACATAGTTGAAGCTTATTCGAAGCGGCGGTTCTGAACGCAATTGGTAGACACCCCCAATCGTCTAGTTTTTGGAGGAAAAAGTCCAGTTGGAAATCTGGCTTCTTCTGTGATTCATGCCTGACAGCGTATTCGACCTGATCATTCAACTCGTCGATGAACTCGTCGGATACTGTAGTCCAGTCAATAGCCTTGATCTGATCGTCATATATCTCTCTCATGGAGTCGTGTAAATTATCTGAATACATAGCTAAAGGAGGCTGTTGTTGGGTGTCGACCGGTAAATGCTGAATTGACTGAGCCAAGCTACGCATAGCATCCAAAACAAACGGCACCACTGCTTCATGGTCCGAGACAGCATTATCATAACAATATACTCGGTGGGTCGCAATACTTGCTCGTAGTTCAGATTTGAGCGAACTGTGTCGGTCCGTCTCAACTACAGTTTGTTCCAGTTGCTTACACATGCCGAAACCCAGAAGCCACAGTTTCGGGCGGAGGAGGGAGCCGATCTGTCCTGTATGTTCCCGTTGTAACCATCTCTTAAACAGAGAATGCATCTCGATGTACGGTACGTGATCATCTCCGCTTTTGGTCCAGTTCCCTGTAATGAAATTGGCTGATACCAACTTGTCGAAGGAGCGTCGGAAGAAGTTGTGATCTAAGAAATGCAGTTCCCTCATGACTTTGGAGCCAGTACTCTCGCTGTCGATTTGCACTTGATCTCTTTGACGAGCGGCTAGGCGATACAGCTGGACGCCATCCTTGAGATTCGATGCATCCTCGAAGGAGGCCACGAAGTATGCGAGGTGCGCTGCGCGTTTAGAATTGGTGGCCTGATCAGAAAGAAAATGTTGAAAACAGATCTCAAATGCTTTCCAAACTGAGCGGTAAGTAGTCAGAATTGGACTCTCTTCGAGGTCTTTGTCTCTGGCTTCGTTGTTGCGTTGAAGATACGTTTCACAACTGATCTGGAGAGAGCCAAGAGACCCGCGGAGGATGCCACCGACAACAGATATCGCCGCTGGGAGATACCCGAGCTCTCGCAGTACCTGTTTTCTCGCTTGGACCTCACCAGCAGACTCGGAAACATTGGCTGTGTTGACATAGGCCGTTCTCGCAGCTGTCAGGAGGAGAAGTTTTTCAGCGGCCTCCTCATCCAATGGAGTTACTTGCATAATGTGATTTGCATTGATCCGATCGCAGATGCTGGCGTTCTGGGTAGTTATCAAGACTTTGCCGGATGGCAGGTGCGGAAAGATGTAGCTTTCCATAGGAATTGCAGAGTGGTCGTCAAGGCCATCGAAAATTATGAGCCAGTTTTCGGCGAACGAGTCATTGAGCCGTTCACCGACTACTGAGACAAAATTAGCTGGCTCTCGGTCTCGTGCTGTCAGAATTTTTGAATACTCAGAGAAAGCCTCTCGTATTTCTAGTTCTGAGCCTGATGGGATCCAGAGTATCGCTCTTGTGGCTTGCTCTTGATTGGCGAAATATCGTGCTAAGGTCGTTTTGCTTGAGAGAACAGTCAATCTTGAGATATTTCTGGGACGATTTCAGAATCATGCACCTACCCAACTCCAGGAAGACCATACAAGACAGCCCTAGCATTACCCTCATTACTTAAGGATCGATTGAGGAACGATAATACATCTTCACGAATTAAAATGGATTCTTGGGGAAAGATCCTTTCGCTCTTTAACAATGGGTCTGAAAGGTTTCGTTCGAATGCTACCACCCGGAAGCAGGGCTTAGCTTCAGGAAAATGGTAAATGAACATCAAAAGAAAAAAAGCAAATTGCGGATGACCAGAGGGAATCTGACAAGGATATTGAGGCGCTCAACGAAATCTCTGTTATGTCATGCAGAGCGCAAACCAAGCAAATAATCACGAGCCACCTCGAATATGGTTACTTACAATATGCAGCCGAGGGTTGACGCGAAACTCCTGTCTGGATGTCACTAATAGGAGATGGAATCCGATTTGCCGGCTTGTCAGTCCGGATATAGCGTCCAAGCAACGACTTCACTGCCGCCGCTGCCGTGGCCGCTGCATAAGGTTGCCATCTCTTGTTCTTGTGGCTATCCGCATAGTCGCACACCCCTTTGACCACAATAGATGGTACCTCGTCCCAGAGGCCGGCACCCTCAGTCTCGAATGCGATGATCTCGTGTTCTGCAGCAATCCTGTCACGGTCTACACCGGACTTCATCACCGCATCGCCTGATCCGACCACGCCGACAAAGATGGCTGGATTGTAGGCCGTGTTGGTGACTTCCGTGCCAATTCGAAGAGACTCTTCCTGCTGCTTGATGTTTTCAAGCCGCTGCCTTACGAGAAGATAAGACATACCACACAGCATTTTATCGCAAGAAGCTGCGATAGCCGTCTTACAACCATGAGACAATGAAAGGCAATCGCACCCTTCTGGCGTACGGTGTCGGTGGATATAATCCGCTTGGAAGAGCTTGTCTTCATTTGGACCTGGGTATTCGTATTGAGTCTCTGACCCCTGGCTCTTGGCCTTCTCCTGCAATTCAAGCAGGAACCGGGCGGTTTCTCGTTCCAACGTGCGGCGAATATGGTCAGTCTGGAAATTAGTGATGAGAGTGCGAATATCTCGATTTGGCCGACCGAGGATGTCGTGTGGAGTTTTCCGGATCATGAAATAGCTTAGATACTGCCGACCGATATCATACTGTATAACTTGCTTGCTGATGATCACGTCTCCTAGCAGAATCTCTTGCTTGCTGCCCACACCAGGTACTCCACCGCAGATACCAGCCAAAATGACTACTTTCAGCCGAGAATAGCTCGCACGAAGGCTAGCAGCCGCACCCGCCGTACTGACCTTCCCTATGTTAGGGAGGAGGGTTAATACGACATCATAGTTCCCGATGCGGCCTGTGGTATACATATTTTGATCTCCTACTGCTCTTCCATAGAGGTCGCCAGCTTCGTCCCAGAATTGATCAAGTGTGAGGGCGACGGCATCGAACTCGATTGGCAGGGCACAAACGATGGCGATCTCGAAATCTTCGCGGCGGCTTGGACGATGCGGATGTTCGGAAGTGGCCATCTCGAGGAGAACAAGCAGCCCGGCTAAAAGTTACGCGATGCTTATCTGATCAGGGTCTTGACCAGCAGTGGAGGATGGCTCGTTATTTAAAAGCTGTCTACGATTTTTAAGAAGTTGGGAGCTCAGGTTCAGCTGGGCAGCGGTTAGGCAGCCTTCCTGGCTGCCTAACCGCAGCCACCATTGCAGACTACCACAAAGTAAATTGAACTGCTATAGCTAGTAGCTGTTTGGATATAAGGGCTTAAATTACTATCGCTACCTATTACAGGTATTATAACAGCGTCATCGATAATGTGAGCTTCTCGGAAGTGAGCGCCCCAATTTGTAGCCGAGTAACTTAAAAAGGCGTTGCTATTAGTAGAGTGGCTGGTTTCCCATCCTCTTCAATAGTAGGGCTAAGACTAGGGTTAAACAGGTTCAAATAGAGAACGCAAAGCTCCGCGAGAATATTATGTGCTTGGCGAGGAGTAATGGAATGATGCCAGTGTAGAGTTGATGGGATAGCTGTAGGAGATGCTAACTCTGCGAGGAGAAATTCGCGAGCAGTTTGATGGAGGAAGTAAACCTTGCCATGATAGATCGAGATAAACAATCCACACCAAGATCTTAGACGCGACTTGAAGTCACTTTCATCCTCTAAATCAAGATCATGAAAAGCTCGTATTACATGACCTTGTGCTATGTCATTTATGTTCATAGCAATGTTCATTTCCGAAAGTGTTAGTGGTCGGCTAGCAGCCAAGATAATGCTCAAGGCTTTTCGAACCATAAGGTCCTCTTTAGACTTGTTAAGAATCTGCTCATATGCCTCATTAACACTTTTTGGAAGTGATTTAATAGCAGATTCGGCCCCTTGTAATGTCCTTTTGAAGCCTTCTTGTTTTATATAATCAAATATAAGATATACCTAGAGATAGGTGCGGTGCGGAATCTCCTGCAGTCTTTGCTCTAGGTAGTTCTTAATTTGGGGTGATAGTGACAGTTGGTTGACCCGATGTGTAATAACGTGATTTACCTCCTGACTAATGACTCCCGATTCTTCCTCTCCTGGTATATGAATATTTGGAAAAGAATTTAGTAGACTGCGGAATTGTGAAATAATTTGCTGATATGGACGGCATGTGAGAAAATATTTTAGCTTGCTCTTGCTGCGGCTTGACTGATCGCCATGAGATTGGCTCTCCACATTCCGCATCAGGTCCGCAAACTCAGACTCAGCACATTCATCCAGGGCATCAAGGGCTATAATTATAGATCCTGCCTGAGGATCTTTAATAGCATTTTGTAGAATTGTCCAGAGTGACTTTGTAGACATAATTAAACTTTGCCCATTGTCGCGGAATTGTTTCATGGCATGTTTAATTAGATATGGCTTTTGGGAGAAGAGTTAATGAAGTAGTGCGCAAAGCGCTTGACGAGAGGTGTTTTGGTCTTGATCTTTGAAAAAGAAGTAGCAGATGGTGGCTGATCGTGGCAGTCCGTGATCGATAAGCTACTTTGCTAAGACTGATTTCCCGCAGCCAGGATCCGCTGTAACTAGCAGGGGCCCTGACTCTTGTTCCAACCACTTTTGGTAGTGCTCGTGTTTAAGGAACCATAGACATGTGTCTTCCACCCTCTCTTCAACTCGGTCTTTATACCATTCATATGTAGTATCTTTGCTGTTAGATGTAAGGCGGAATAGCTAATGACACTCTTGTTCTTCTTTTGATAGCCTCTCTTTAGCGAAATCTTTCTGGACTCGGAGCTGCTCCCCTGCAATATCTCGGTGACCTTTTGCAATATCTCGGTGATCTTCTGCAATACCCCGGTGATCTTTAGCAAGTTCTTGGAGACCTATATAAGATTGATATATCTTAACATTGGGGTTCAAAGGCCTAACACTAACCAGATAGAATATCACTGATCTTCTTTTCAGCTTCAACCCTACTTGGAGCTATTCGAGAGAGAAGATCTTTTGCGTATGCTGCGGCTGTCATCGCTGCATACCCCTGCCACTCCTTGTTTTTATGCGAGTCTGAGTAGTCGCAGATGCCACGAATAACCAGGCATGGAAAGTGGTTCATCAATCCGGCAGCTTCCATTTCAAAGCAGAGAACGCCTTTCTTTACTATAAGTTTATTACAGCGATTGTAGCAGAGAATGCAGTTGGGTGGTAATTCCGTGGATTGGGCACCAAGGCATTTTCCCCGCTCCGATGGTAAGATAGCGAATACCAACAGTTGCATGACTCTCCAATAACATTTGGCCAATCGTGCAAGCGATTATCCGAATACGCTGGATATGCGCTGTGATTGTTGGCTGGTACTGTAAAAAGTATGATTTGGTTAATTCAACCTCTGCCCCAGATTTGCTTGTGTACTTATAGAATAAGTTATACAAAATTATACAGTACTCATGCCCTGAGAAAAGGATCACGATCCAACTACTGGCCAACAGAACCCAGAATCCATTTCTGGATAATGTTTTCATAATGTACGTAGCCTCTTAACGTCTGCACTGTTTAAGCCACACTACGCCATAGAAATGGTCCGTGCGGAAAGACTTTTGTTATAATGAAAACCGGACACTTATTTCGGTTTCTACTGTATAGGTATTAAGATCCATATTCCTTAGTGCAATCACAACATATCTACAGCGTCCACAAGCGGTCCAGTTCGATAGTGATACAGATAGGAGTGAAATACAGTTGAAGGCGAATGGGTGTTGTGGATTAGTTAGCTAGATAACGGTTATAATAGGGATCCGTTTTTAGTTGGATTGTGGCTTGATACCCCTGTCAGTTGGTACTTCAGAGGTACCGCTACAACTATGGGGGAAATAGCCGTCCTATTGAAAGACCTTTAGTCAACACATTTACCTAATCAGATACTTCTATATACCTATTAATAGCCTGCATATGACCAAAATAGGCGATGACAAGAGCCAATTCTGGCTCATGCCAGTATCTCTATGTACCGATGGCGCGTGGTCTGTGCTCACAACCGCAAGAGTTAACATTAGAGAGGAAGCTGGTTTCTCACTTAGTTGTAGCCAGTTGTTAATATAGAATCAAGATTGCATGCTTAGGTATTGCATAACTAATTCTATAATTACATGTAAATCTAGAGCCAGAAGTGGAATTCAACCAAATGTACTTTTTACTAGACAACGATCACAGCGCACATCCAGCGTATTCGGATCATCGCTTGCATGATTGGCCAAGTGTTATTGGAGAGTCATGCAACTGTTGGTATTCGCTATCTTACTATTGGAGCGGGGAAAATGCCTTGGTGCCTAATCCACGGAATTACAACCCAACTGAATTCTCTGCTGACAATCGCTACTAAAACAAAAGATGAGCTTACTTTCATAAACGCTATAGCTCATCGACCTAGGATTTCACCCCAGACTTTGAGACGCAATCATGTCTAATCCACATGACTACACCGTTGGTTGGATCTGCGCCATACCAACCGAGTATGTCGCTGCCCAGGCTTTTCTTGACAAAAAGCATGAAGGGCCTGACTATACACCCTCCAACGATAATAACGACTATACGCTTGGCAAGATCGGAAGACATAATATCGTTATTGCCGTGCTTCCAAACGGCGAATATGGACTATCATCCGCAGCGAGTGTTGCGAGAGATATGCTGCACAGTTTCCCTAATGTCAGAATCGGTCTAATGGTCGGAATTGGCGGCGGCGCTCCTAGCTCAAAGCACGATATTCGTCTTGGCGATGTTGTCGTGGGTGTTTCTAAAAATGGAATGGGTGGCGTCGTCCAGTATGACTTTGGAAAGGCCATACAGGGCCAGGAGTCCCAAGAGACGGGATTCTTAAATCAGCCACCAACGCTGCTGCGGGCGGCTGTTAGTGGCCTAATAGCACAGCATGAGATTCAAGGGAATCAACTGAGGGAAGCAGTCAACAGCGCACTAGATAAAAATCGAAGACTACGAAAGAGAGGTTATAAGCGACCCGAAGCAGTAGCTGATAGGCTCTACCGATCGCAAGTTGTTCACCCTTTAAATAATGAGACTATATGTGCGGTAGCATGTGGCGATAATCCATTAAGTCTTGTCGAGCGGCCTGAACGGGACGAAGATGACGATGATCCGGCGATCCACTATGGTCTAATCGCCTCAGCAAATACACTCATGAAGGATGCTACAGTTCGAGATAAACTTATAGTAAAGAAGGACGTTCTTTGCTTTGAAATGGAAGCCGCTGGTCTTATAAACCACTTTCCATGTCTGGTTATTCGTGGCATCTGTGACTACTCAGACTCGCATAAAAATAAAGAGTGGCAGGGATATGCGGCGATGACAGCTGCAGCATATGCAAAAGACCTTCTCTATCGAATAGCTCCAAACAAGGTTGAAGCTGAAAAGAAGATCAGTGATATTCTATATGGTCAGTCTTAGGCCTTTAAACCCTACTATTAAGATATACTAATTTTATACAGGCCTGAAAGAACTTGCTCAAGAGCACCGGGGTATTGCAGAAGATCACCGAGATATTGCAAAAGAGCAGCTCCAAGTCCAAAAAGATTTTGCTAAAGAGAGGCTATCAAAAGAAGAACAAGAGTGTCACCAGCTATTCCGTCTAACAGCCAGCGGTAAAGATACCACATATGAGTGGTATAAAGACCGAGTGGAGAAAAGGGTGGAAGACACATGCCTCTGGTTTCTTAAGCATGAGCACTACCAGACGTGGTTGAAACAAGAGTCCGGTCCCTTGCTAGTCACAGCGGACCCTGGCTGTGGAAAGTCGGTATTGGCTAAGTACCTTATCGATAACGGCCTGCCACGATCAGCAACTACCTGCTACTTCTTTTTCAAAGATCAGGACCAAAACACCTCCCGTCAAGCACTTTGTGCAGTACTCCACCAGCTCTTCTCTCAAAAGCCGCCCCTAATTAAACATGCCATGCCGCAATTCCGCACAGATGGGCAAGGTTTAATAAACTCTACAGAGTCGCTCTGGAAGATATTACGGGGTGCTATAAGAGATCCCGAGGCAGGACCTATAATCATCGTTTTCGATGCCTTAGATGAATGTGCCGAATCTGAGTTTGCGGGCTTGATGCGGAATGTGGAGAGCCAATTCCACAGCGATCAGTTAAGCGATAGCAAGCTAAAATATGTTCTCACATGTCGCCCATATGAGCAAATTACCTCACAATTCCACGGCCTATTTAAATCTTTTCCAAATATCCGAATACCGGGAGAGGAAGAGTCAGAAGCTATTAGTCAGGACGTAAACCATGTCATCACGCATCGCGTCAACCAGCTATCAGCGAAGAAAAGGCTTCCATCCCATATCAAGGACTACTTGGAGACAAGATTACGGAAGACTTCTCACCGCACCTATCTCTGGGTATATCTTATATTTGACTACCTAGAGAAAGAAAACTTTAAGAAAACACTAAAAGGAATCAAGCCTATCATTAATACGCTTCCAAGGAGTATTAACGAGGCATATGAGCAAATCCTAAATAAGTCTAAGGAAGATAAACAAGTTCGGAAAGCCTTGGGTATCATCTTGGCTGCCAGTCGACCACTAACACTTTTGGAAATGAACATTGCTATGGATATAGACGACACAACACAAGATGGCACAACACAAACTTTTCATGATCTCGATTTAGAGGACGAAAGCGACTTTATGTCACGCCTAAGGTCTTGGTGTGGATTGTTTATCTCGATCTACCATGGCAAGGTTTACTTTCTCCACCAAACTGCTCGCGAATTTCTCCTCGCAGATCTGGCATCTCCTACAGCTATCCCATCGGTGCTACACTGGGAAAACTCTATTACTATTCGCCAAGCACATAATATTCTCGCGGAGCTCTGCGTCCTCTATCTAAACTTGTTTAATTCTAGTAGTAGCCCTACTATAGATGCGGATAGGAAAAGCAGCTATTTAACCGATAGCCACGCCTTTTTAATGTACTCCTCTGAAAATTGGGGCGCTCATTTCCGCGAAGCTCATATTATCGATGACGCCACTATCATACCTTTGACCCTAGGAATCTGTGATCCTAGTTCGAAGAGCTACTCAGCATGGTTTAAAATTTATCAGCGGTCTACATATCGAAGCCCTACTGGGAACCTTACAGATCTTATAATAGCATCGTACTATGGCCATCGCGCTATTGTTAAGCTGCTGGTTGAGAAGGGAGCTGATATAGAGGCGAAGGATGGATATGGCCGGACGTCGCTATTATGGGCTGCTGTGAATGGCCATGAGGCTACTGTTAAGCTGCTAGTTAAGAAGGGAGCTGATATAGAGGTGAAGAGTGGATATGGTCGGACGCCGCTATTATGGGCCGCTGTGAATAGCCATGAGGCTACTGTTAAGCTGCTGGTTGAGAAGGGAGCTGATATAGAGGCGAAGGATGAAGATGGCCGGACGCCGCTATCATGGGCTGTTGTGAATGGCCATGAGGCTATTGTTAAGCTGCTGGTTGAGAAGGGAGCTGATATCAAACGCGCCAAACTCAGCCAAAGCCAATATTGCACAAAATCAGCTCTACAGCCACAACAACCCTGTAACGCAGCACACAGCCCATATAAAAGCTATTTAAAATAAGCTTTTTGATTATACCGCTACATTCTTTTTTTCCTTTAGCCACTGTTCTAAGTTTTATGAATTCGCGTAGATTAGCTGAAAATACATGTATCGCCTTTTACTGTAATAATAATAACAATAATAAATGCCTATAGCAAAATTTGTCGACGGCTTCAAACTCGACAATACCTGCGTATCGCGGTTTGGAGCTTCTCAAGTCACCGCTAAAGCTTCTATCTAATCCGTTCGCTATTTCCTGCCTGCGTCATGTAGGCTGCTCAATAGCCATGTGTGACGTCCTGACCTATACTATCGTACTTTGGTATAGGGTAGGTTCCCAATTATAAACCAAGGCGTCGGTTTATGTTGGCAGAGAGATGCGAGGGATCTGATGAGCAGTGTAGTCACGTAGCTAGCAAGGTTATGAATAACCAATCTGAATTGCTATCTTAGTTATGCTGTTAATGACTGACTATCTAAATTCTATCTAATGAGTGTAATGAACATTCTTATATAGTAAGTCGTTCCATGGTTATCACCATCGCAAGTCTCACAGTACTTGGTGAGAATGCTTCCCTATGGCTACAGTCTCACCTCACTGAAGGTACGTACTCTATTGAGAGAGAATCTTCTCATCCTAATTGGCTACCTTACCCGATGTATTGCCGGAGGTACGGGTCACACATCTTTTTGTCCGTCAGAGAAGCTTAACTCAGGCGAATATTATGCTCAGCCGTGGCACCTTCGTTCCATGGCGGAAGATAAGATCCATCTATATTCAGCCTCCTCTTATTGTATCTCTGTTTCACGTTGTTCTGTACGCCATAGAGTTCTATCCCTGTGGACAAAGTATCAGTTAATTCCATGGGTGAGCTATCCCCAACACTATACCATCGCATGGATTGCGCCACTCGAAATTGAGGCCATTGCAGCCACACACATGCTTGACAATAAGCATCATGGGCGATTCTCTCTGCAACGTGGTGATGACTACGTTTTCGTCCCTGGTGATATCTGTGGGCATAATGTTATTATTGCTACCCTACCTGCTGGCCAAGAATATGGCATTGGCTCTGCTGCCGCCCTTGCTAGCCAAGTGAAGAAATTCTTCCCTAATCTTTGGTTTGGTCTGCTTGTAGGTATCGCCGCTGGCCTCCCAACTCTGCATGGCCCTTCGCCTCGCGACATCCGACTTGGCGACGTTTTAGTGGCTCTGCCTCCTGATAGTGACGGTACCGGACTGATTGCCTATGACTTGGGCCGAGAGACCACAGAGAGATTCCAGCTTTTACGTCGCGGCTATGCCATGCCCAGGACTGAAGCCATTGTTATGTCGGCTATAGGGACCATCAAGCGCGATGCCCCTAATGATTTAGCCTTGTTTCTTCCATACTACAACAAGATGAAAGACCAGGAACACGCTAATGGAACATTTAACGACCCCGGTCAAGATGCTGATCGCTATTACGAGACGGATCAGACAGGAGCAATTAAGCTTGCAGAGAGAGAATGCCGAAAGATAAGAAGCGGACACGAGTTTGGTATGGGCCAATTGGTTCTGGGATAAGCTTATAAAGAATTCCACTAAGCGAAATGAGCTTAGAGATAAGTATAATCTTATTGGGCTTGAGATGGAGGCAGCTGGCATGATGAGTCGTCTCCCAGTTGGTGTTATTCGCGGCGTGTCTGACTATGGAGATGAGCATAAAAACAAAGAATGGCAGCCATATGCCGCAGCCATGGCAGCAGCCTATGCTAAGGCAGTCTTAGCACAAATAGGACCTCGGAAGCAACTCAATCAGGGGACCGCGGAGCTTTGCCAGAGACAGGGTAAGTGTTTGACCTAGCCTAAACCTAGTCACGTTATTAAGCGAGGAACAGCAATAGCAACTCCTTCATTTCGGCATCCTGTAACAGGAAATTACCACCGTGTACTTGTTACACTGCTCTATTGGGAGATCGACAGAGTAGATAGTCTGGTTCGTTCTAAAAGAGCGTTTGCTCCATCTGAGTTGTATGCTTACGATATTCGTTAGGTCAAAAGATCAGCAGACTTTATCATTACCAAGTCGAAAGCATTTGTCTTGCGCCAAAATACAGCCCTGTCGATCATTTTCCCTGGCACGACCCTGAAAACATCACTCGGATTTACAAATCTTATACTACATTGGCACAACCCGTCCTTGGCCGGCAGCGCCGGCGGGCTTCGTGGATAAGGTGGCCGTATCCTATTCGCCTCCGTATGCTTAACTATCCCACTGTGTTGATACTGAACTGAACTAACTGCAAGCATTTAACAGTCATGACAGCTTAGACCTACAGAGTTGGCTGTCTACCGCACTTGGTATCCCGAACCTTTTGTCAGATGTCTTGGTGATACTTGACTGCTATTGGGCAGGACTTGCCGAAGAAAACAGTGAAGACATCTAGCATTTACGTGATAATGATTGGGCACGTTACGGAATCTTATTTGCAGGCCATGACGATGAATTATATCCTCTTGGTCGGTTCTCAGAATATTTAATTGGCGTCCTACGGGATCTTACCCAATCAGTTAATGAACCTGATACCCTCGTCAATTGCGGTAAAATCCTCGCAGACGTCAGTAGAGCTATAGAAGATAATGCTTGTCCGTATTGGCGTGGGAATTTTCGGCCTGACTCTTTCATTCTGGCGCCTATTTAGGGCATGACATGCGTTAGATAGTTTCAGGATACCTAATTCTCTCAAGCACTCTAAACAAATCATCAGGCTTGAACAAAAGATAATTTGTTTATGTATAGAAGAGACGCAATATCGCTCCTTAATTGAAATATGGATAATGTGTAATAAGCAAATGAGTCCATTCGAGCTATGGACTAAAGCAGGTTATCCAATTGTATCCTATTCTACTGATACATGACTCTACTCCAACTTTGTAGGAAAACGGTCTCTAGTTGGTTGTGAATAAGAGGATTGTGAAGGCCATCAACGGCGGTCTTCTAATGCAGCAAAATAGAAAATAACATAAACATAAATAAAACTAAATGACTAAGCTTCAGATAAGTTTGTAGTAAATGTGTATGTAGCACAAGAACGATATGTAGGAAAGCTATTCAAACTAAGTGATATTGCGTCATGATCTATATACAGCAATTATGGGCGGCTATTTCTGTGGATGGTAGATCAACTCCTGAGTAAGTTACTAAGCTGATGTGCCATTATTAGCGTAGGAGCTCCTTGGCTTAGGGTTAAGCTAAAAAGCCAATCTCCATGTGTAATAAGGCGTTCGCTAACCTTCAGAGGCCACTTAGCAGAGCATATCGGCATGTAAAACCCTGCGTAAGCGATCTTGTGAATATGCGAACTGGCTTACGCTCTATAAGGCGTAGGCTAACTGGTTTGCGCGAAAAACTAGCCTGTGATAACAGAGCTACGCTAATCATAGCGCATGCTTGGAGAATTGGGCCAAGCGAGATTGGCAAAGGCGGATGTTAACGAACGATTTGTAAAGTGAGCACTCATTGAAGAAAAATAGTATATATATGAATACCTGTTCATCATGTATCACTGACATAAAACATACCACATATAGTTTCACCAATTTTGCTTTCTAATATAGGAGAAATTTGAGATTAAGTAGATATCACTATCTCAGGAAAAGCTTCAAAGGGAGAGAGAAAGAAAGATGTCAGTCTCAAAGTTTATAACAGGGAATATGGGCCCGAACCCAACATCCTAAATACCACCACTCGCCCTGAACGATTACCCAGAGCTATAGCTACGTCTGTTAACGGCACCTGTGGCGACGCAAAATGTGGTGCCTGATGCCAGACGGCCGACGTGGAAGGCTGGTATTCAGGCGGAAGCCACAATATATTATGCCCATTCGAGGTGATCCAACATTTATTAGTGCTAAGGCCATACCTAACATAGTTTGCCTTCTCAGCATCATTAACAATGGGTCGGCGTTGATTCTGATCCTGAGCCGGATCTGAAGTTGAAGACAGAACTTGAGCTACCATCGTAGATTGTGCTTCAGTTCGATATTTTACGCTCAATTTTATAAGATCGATTTTAGTGTGCAGGTATGAGGCCGTATCATCGAAGGATATTGTATGTATTGCGGTGTCAACCCTAAGTGTTTGTCGCTCTTTGCCTGTTGTTGTATCCCAGCTCTTGATGGTCTTATCGTGTGACCCTGAGGCGATGTAGCGGCCATCGGCTGAGAAGGCCACTGACTCGACCGAACCGCCATGGCCCTTAAGTGTTTGGATATAAGGGCCCCAATTATATTCCACTATAGGGTTTACTTTTAGCCATTAAAGTTCTTCCTCTTTAAATATTCCCCGTATTAAGCTATTTGATGGACTGAATGTAAGCGCTGATGTATATACCTGGAGTCCACTGTCCCTAATTAGTAAACAGTTCTGCCGGCCGCAAGTCTTGTGTAAGTTCTAGTAATTGGCAGTCTGATGACTGGCGGTCCGGTGATTTTACCTATACTGATCAGTTTCGCTTCACTTATGATAGCGCTAGTGGCTTACTCTCAGAAGATTCTCTAGCCTTGCCATGGAAAGAACCCCATCTTCTATATGCCCCATAAGGCCCAAAGCCTCAAGCCAGTACAGGAAATACTTCCGAAGGAGTAAGAAGACCGCCTGGCACTTATGATCAACCTGGTCCTGAGATTGGCTATTACTGTTATATACATAACAGAAATGCTCGACCCAATGGACGCAGGAGTACTGCACAGCGGTTAGCGGATCTGAATATGGAGCCTTAATGTCGCTAATTAAGGTCCCAGGAGAGCATGGATTATAGATATTCCGTCGTAACGTGGCAGACATAGCTTGTAATGACCGCGCGAAGATGACACCATGGACGTCGGCGGAGTTAAAGGGGGAAATACTAGGCGCTGCTTTGTCACTCAAATAGTCCTTGGCTGACTGGTGGATAACATAAACCCGGCTGTCTCGCACAGTGAGAAATGAGCCACAAAGTCCTATTGCCTCATCGATCAACTCGGCATCTGCAGGATCATTGCCTGGGGACTCGATAAGGGTGCCAAGCTCGGCCAGTGTAACAGGCCGATACACTAGCAACACGGTCGCCAGGATCTGATAATAAAACTTAGCATCGCTATCCTCTAAATCATGCAATTGATTTATCATCCTCTCATATAAAAAATCAAGTCCAGGCGGAAACTTGTTCAACGTTCGGAGAGGACTCTGCAATGAGATATTCTGTAGATTCTCACAGACTAAGGATACCCAGAGAAAGGTATAATTAGAATTATAGGACAAGTGGTGGTGAACAGCATCTTTTGTTATAGCATCATATTTCCTCTTTTGCGATAATAGTTCGACTTGGTGCTTGATATACGCGTTGACGGCTGCGGAGATGGATTTTCGTTGCGCTCTAGACACAGCCTGATTTGCTAGGTGGCAGAATCAAGACGCTCTTCAATATCTGGCCAGTTGCGACTAGACACTATCCACTTAACGCGGGAAAAGGGCGCGGACTTCATACTAATAAAGTCAAGCAGCTTTGGTAGGTCGGTCACGCATTCGTCAAGTGCGTCATGATTATGTGCATTCACATCCTGAAATAGCGCCTCCCCCCATGTTTATATTTCTTTTATATGTGGGAGATGAGCAGCGGCTGCTGTTCCACAACCAGGTAGATAAGGCCTCGCAGCACAGCCGTGGCGCTGTTAATGCGCTCGTCGGCGGCCGACAATAAAAGTAGGATAGCAGTGTGCTGGCTTTTTGGTCCAGTCTTGTTCCGGAGCTTAACTCATTCACAATACCGCGGAGCAACATCGTCTTGCCCTTGCCGGGATCGCCCTTGATCCAGAGCAGGCGGCTGCGTTCGTCGTCGCGCCATTGTCGGAAATCGCTATGCTTGAGGATCCAGCGATATGAATCTTTAAATAGCCCGCCCTTTGTAGCCTCATTGCGAGTTTTATCGTGGCGAGGGTCCGTTGTACTTAAGTTCGTGAGGCATTTTAAATCAGTAGGCGAGTGGTAATGAACATCACCTTGGTGGACTGTGTTATTATTGCCAAAGTAGTTGCCAGTAATCTCGCGCAAGTGTAGATCCATTGCCATTAAAATGTTTCAAGAGACTAAACCTTACAACGCGAAACAAGATTTGCGACACAATCGACTACAAGATACCAGGAAGGAATTAGAGACCTAGAAGAAGGCGGCCTAGACATCTTGATGATGCAGCCTGATCAGGCAGCGTTAGAGTTGTATGGCTGCCACCCCATTTTGCCCAATGATATCCCTCATTTGCAACGTGCACAAGCATACACGAGAGTGCAAAATATACGTGGCGGCATGTATAGCTATGTGTCAGCTTGTTTCGCGCGAGTGCGTCGCCGCAACGAAACGCTCTTTCACAGAACCATGGCGACAGGACAAAAGATTGTAAAATATATATATCGTTGTCTCTATGCACAATGGTTCTCTGCTTGGAACGTTATCTAAGACGCCTTCCTCTTTAGGCGACTATCATGAGAGGTGAGGAAAGAAGAAAAGGAAATGGGGAACACAGGGGGTTCGCCCTACATACCGCCAGTGCTGGCGGGGCGGGGCCGTGTCTTGGCTTTGTTGCGGTGCTCCACAGAACCTGCGGGGTACAATTAGAAACTTGACCGGTACAAGTCACAAATAGCCGTCGCCTTGTTACTAAATTAACTAAGAAACCCGCGACACCATTTGAACTTTACTTTACACACAGTCTATTTTTCATATTAACTTTGCCCCTCCACAGCTTGACTAGCCTCGCCCCTCCAGCGTGTTCATTCTCTTTTCATTATATTGCTAAGGTACGCCATGGCTTCTGGTACTTCCTGCAACTTTCGAAGATCTCGACCCCTGATTCAAGCAATATTTACTTCTTTTCCTACGACTCTGCACCACTATCGCCCTAGTCGGAACCTCACGGAACAGAACTACTACCGTTCAGCGCACGCGTTTTACCGTGACCACGAGGTTGTTGTGTACAAGGATGGCCTAGTGTATCCAGCCGTGAATGGCAACGATTGTACGTTTACCCTTCATTAGATGCAAATCGCTGACAGGTATGGTCAGCAACAAACAGGGCAGTCATGTATACCGACTTTATCATGCAAAAGTTTGCCCGCGCGTGGATTGAGATGAATATCTCTGGTAAGGAAGTAAGCTGCAAAACAGGGAAACGATATGTGTACACTATCCCAGAAGGTAAATCATTCACTCATGCCCGCACAGAGTGCGGATATTGACAAAATACAAACCAGGAACTCCAATTCCCAACCACCTAATTCTGATCCAAGAGTGGGACAACTCCAGGTTTTCACTTCAGCCAGCACATGGCATACCTCTCACAGGTCGCAGTGTTCATTCACTCGAAATCGACGCTGAAGCTAACCCCATTTTAGATCTAAACCAAGCGTTGGGCGAGTTCTATAACAAGCACGCTACCAGGATGAAAGTTCGCAAGTGGATTAAATCGAACCCGTGCCAAAAAGACCTCGAAAGCGAAGCTGAGAAGAAGTGGATGAAAAGGTGGATGGGAATAAGAAACATCAGACAAGGTCGCTGAAGGGGTTCATAGGTAAAATGGCCAGGAGTGCGGTAAAATATGTTTCTTATTCGAGGAGGACCATAGTGTCACATCGTATTCTCTATGACTTGACGGGAGCAAGGGCTTTTCTTGACGAGAAGCATGACGGACCCGAATACGTATCCCCGAATGACAATAACGATTACACATTGGGCACGTTTGGAAAACACAATGTTGTTATTGCCGTGTTGCTTGACGGCAAGTACGGCACGGCCTCCGCCGCAATTGTCGCAAGAGACATGCTGCATAGCTTTCCTAATATCAGAATCGGTCTGATGGTAGGCATCGGCGGCGGTGCGCCAAGCACGAAGCATGACATCCGTCTAGGCGACATCGTCGTCAGTGCTCCTCGTAATGGGGGAGGAGGTGTATTTGGTAAAATAATACAGAATCGAAGCTTCCACATACTGTGTTTTTAGATCAGCCACCAATGGTCTTGAGAACAGCAATGGCTGGACTTAGGGCACAGTATATGGAAGACGGCCATCGACTCGAAGAGACTATCAGCGCTATTCTCGATAAGAAATCAAGACTGCGGCAGGCGACAAGCGACCAGACCCAAGTAGCGGCAGGCTATATAAAAGCGAAGTTGTCCATCTAGTGGACGGGAAAAGCTGTGCAGCCGTTTGCAGTGATGATCCATCGAGCTTACTACCTAGAACTGAACGGACACAAAACGACGATAATCCTGCCATTCACTATGGCACAATCGCTTCGGCGAATCAGTTAATGAAGGACGCCACAATAAGGGACAGACTTGCGGCGGAGAAGGATGTTGTGTGTTTTGAAATGGAGGCGGCAGGGGTGATGAGCCACTTTCCCTGTCTGGTCATTCGTAGCATTTGCGACTACTCAGACTCGCACAAGAATGAAGAGTGGCAAGGGTATGCAGCAATGGCGGCGGCTGCGTATGCAAAAGATCTTCTCATCCGAATCCCTTCTAATAAAGTTGAGGCTGAGCAAAAGATCAGCAGCCTGTTGGCTACAGGTTAGTGATTGTCCTCTTCCGTAAGATATTAATAGTGTACTAAATAAGACCTTTGAAGTCAATCAGAAGATGGATACTATTAGCCAGAAGGTAGATGCTATTAGCCAGAATATTTCCGTCGACAAACTCCCTAGTGCCGTAGGAGCCTCCTTCGACTCCCGTGCCGAATAGCAAAACCCAACCTGCTTGCCAAATACTCGAGTTGAACTCCTCAGTCAAATAATAGAGTGGGCCGAGAATTCGCACACTGAGTCGATTTTCTGGCTGAACGGTATGGCGGGCACTGGGAAGTCAACCATTTCCCGCACTATCTCCCGGTCTTTTGATAGCACTGGCCATCTAGGCGCCAGCTTCTTCTTCAAAAGAGGCGAGGGTGACCGAGGGAGCTCAGCCAAGCTTTTCACAACAATAGCCGCTCAACTAGCATCGAAGAAACCCGCTATCGCTCCTTATTCAAGAACGCCATTAATGCCGACCCCACTATTAGCGACAAGGGACTAAAAGGAGCAGTTCGACAAGCTTATATTGCGGCCTTTATCCGCGATTTTACCAAAAACTAGAAAAGCCGAATTTATGGTCATAATTATTGATGCCCTAGATGAGTGTGATCTGGAGAATGAAGTCAAAGTTATTGTTCACCACTTTGGCCGTGCTAGAAGCTTGGGGTTAAAAACCTTCGTCACCAGCCGGCCAGAGCTTCCAATTCGTCTCGGCTTTTCTGCAATTAAGGGTAAATATCAAGAATTCATTCTTCAAGAAATATCCCAGCCGGTAATCAAGCACGACTTATCACTTTTCCTAGAGCATGAATTAGCGACAATCCGGGCAAGGTATAATAGCTCAGTGCCGGAAGACCGACACCTAGACGCAGACTGGCCTGGTCAATCTAGTATTGACGCGCTAGTAATAGGTAGAATAGGGTGCCCTTTATCCCATTTTGTATGGATCCGCATAGGATATTACGGCAGAACAAGAGGCAGCAACATCATGCTTTTGTGATTCTGCAAAGCCTGCCTGTTGTATTGTATTTAGAAGTGCTAAATGGTTTGCCAGGAGTTGTATAATGATTCCTCTTATAGCAAGATTGGCAAGGTCTTCCTTCTAAACCGTAGGCCTGCATGGATTAGGGCATCACGGGCAGCACAAAATGCCCTTCATCCCAGAATAATCCACAGTATATTTCTAAACTTTTCACTATTTGCTCCCTTGGTAATGGTATCAAACTAAGCTTTTAGTTAAGAGTGATAGTTGCTGATGGATGTATTTTTATTGGGCTGAAGCTTATTTTAACATAACTTGTTAGGGACAACTAAACTCTGCTAGACAGGCACAGCGCTTCATAAAAGCTTGATTTAACTTGATAACCGCAATGCCAATAGATGCATGGCCCTGTTGGGCGGTTTAATAAAATATATATCATTTTGCGTCTCCTTATGTCAGGGGCGGCGGCATAAATATGGATTGGAGGTGTGTCTTTAAATACTAGATCTTTTTACTGCTTATCCGGGTAGCACACTCTTTATACCTACTTATATTATGTAAAAGAACGTCTGTAGATCTGCCTTAGGATCTCGAACTATGTGCCTATTGAGCTATCCAGATCGAGAGGAGATGGAATGGGCTCCGAGCCACCCACAAGCTAACTTCTCTAACTCATGCAATAGGCGATTGAGGAAATGCTATGAACGATCGGCTGTGGTGTAAACGAAGCTCTTGTAGAAGCCAAATTCCTATGCCTCTATAGTTATTTATGCTGTTGAAGCATAGAGTTTAACCTTTCGTATCCCTGGGATTGCTCGGCAAACTCCACTGAACTATCTGTGTATGCTTTAATTAGACTATTGCAGATTGCATATCGGTCGCTACAAAGTTATGCTCTGGAAATGCGCTAGCAGTGACCGCTAGGTGTCGAGCGCCTTGCTGCCGGGGCCCCATTCCAGGTGTTACAGAACAGCGAGGAAGCCGCCCACATTGTAATTGGCAATCAGAAGCGTTGCTAGACGAGAAGCGTTGACAGCCAGTCGCTGTGGTGGTTGGGCCCTGGGATCACGAAGCGAGGGCAGCGGCATCGACTGATACATGTACCTACTATGTAGGTTAGAATTAAGCGTGGCACGCGGCTAACGCTGCTGCCGTTGTGGCTATTACTATTGCTATTATTACTTGTATGAGCTGTGCGCCGCTTGGTGAACCTCATTTGTTCCAGGCGATCTTTCTAGCGTCTCGGTAATATATGCAGATCCTCAAACAAGCTTCAGCTGCTTCTAGCCGACTCCTACAAAGGGAATATGCCGCTACTAATCGCTATTCCCTGTTTACGCGCGCTCTCCTTTATCCTTCTATCTTCTCATGGGACGGTATTAATAAAAACAGCTCGCTAACACAAGAAAAATCGCGGAGATCGAAGCACGCCAAGTTGCTATAATACTAGTTTCGGCAGCGGTATCAACGAGGTAGTAGACGGGAGCATTAACTCCGGTGGTTGTGGTGTGTAATCAAGACCGCTATTTGGGGTCCCTGCAGCTGAGATTTGGTTGAAAAAAAGAATACAACTTTCGGATCTAGGGAGTCGAGATGGGGATAGCTTCCCACTGGCCCTGGAAGGGAAAATTATTCACATTCGCCGAAAGAACCATGATTTGATTTGCGAAAACTGCTGGCTTCGGTTGGATTGAACACTCATTTACCTGCATATGTGATATAATTGCTGTTCTATCAACTAAGGGCCTCCATGAGAAGGGATTCCTGTCTCTTCGAGACGTTGATATTGGAATGCACAATATTAGCCGTAGATGGACTATGTGGACGCTGGTAATTGTTCGAGGAGTACTCCGCGAGTCGCATGACTCGCAGCTAAATGCTGTCAATTCGTGCCGCGCAGCAGTATACATACAAACTTGCTAAAATCAGCACTGTCATGCCGAAGCCAAGGGGAAAGAAGTCCCAATAGTACACTACTAGGGAGTACTGAACTCTTTCAGTATGGTCACACCAGGCACACCAGCCCCTCCCTCACACCTTGCCGTTGCGAGAGGGCCGTCTAGACGCATTGACAAATCATTGCGCGCAATTCTGTACTCTCTCCATGTCGGAGAGGTACGTCATAATCGCGCCACAATGTAGCCTTTTGAATGGCTGGTCCCTGTCTAAGATGGTGCTAACGGTTGAGGTGCGCGCTTCGTTGGATCACGTGTTCGGGCTGACGACTTGCCTCGACGCACGCCAGGATCCTGCTCGCTCTAGACCACATGACAGCTATACGGAGAAAATTTAGCTCACGTCAGTAGGTGCTCTCGAAATGAGAGGCTGTATACGAAGTACAATGAGGAGCTGGGAGGAGAAAAGTCGTACTCGTACAGCTGCAGTACAGGCAATTATCTCGGATCAAATTAGTTCCGAGGGCTGACCTGGCCAGCGGTACTTTGTTCGATGCCCAGCCAAAACCAAGATCTACACCCACTAAACCTTGCGACCTGCGTCCCCGTTAGGTGCTGGTAAGCTGGGCCCATAGGTGGCAGCCAGGCTACTTCACTCTGCCGTGCAGGAACGGTCGAAGCGAGTGGAAGTTACGGAGTACAGGCACTCTCGTACAGAACACCTTCTCATATCTCGACGATGGTGGTAGAACTAGTGGTGGAGCCAGCTGCTCTGGAATCGGGCTACCTGACCTGCAACCAGTTGTGGGCACTACTATTGCGACGGGTTTGGCGCTTGTTAATGTATGATTTCTCTTCCACACATCGACGCCTAATTCGCAGCCACGCTCGTATTAGCGCTAATGCTTGGATTAAATGGTCCGTCAAGGCGATGCCGCTCGGGACTGTTGCGCATTTTGCTCCCCCTGGGATCTGGGGGCTGGATGTGTCTGTTGATGGCTTCAGCGGGCAGAGCAGAACGGAGTGTGTCAGCATGGCACAAGCTGGCCGACAGGCGGGCTGGAAGTGATGCAGCAGCAGCAGAAGGAGCAGAAGCTCTACCAAACGCTATGGTATGGCTTGCAGCCCGCATTCTAGGGATCAATGTCATCTGTCTGACTTCCTAGGCTGAAGACTCCATCACTAGAACGGCTTGTGGATATACAAACCACATGTCATTCCTCTTGCTGCTGTCCGATTGGCCTACAGTTCTACACCGCGTGCTTCAATCTCACTCCAACACCTTCTCATCCTACAAACATTAATAAATAATTGTTACCAGTTACTACTGCAAGATAATCATCATAAAAGTGAATAAACTCAAATAACTAAAGAATCTTTGACTATGTATTGATACATGGACGAGCATCTGATGGAAACTTTTCGCTAGCAATACCCCTCTAGAGTGAGACATGGGCTCGCTAGCTCCCAAACAAGACCCTGATGTCCATGGTTTGCGTTGATGCTTCTGCGATTGCCCCTGCCCAGCTGACACGCACACGCCCCTCCCTCTTTTCCTTTAATTCCGAGACGATTTCAGACAGCCTCACCACGGCAATTATCGCAAATCATACTTGTACCTCACCTAGCCCCATCCATATCCTACGAAGCTGTTCTCGACGACGAGCTTCCTTCAACCCGACTGGTCATCGTCGTTTCTTGTTCCGTTCGCTTCTACTTCCCTCAGTAACGGCCTCTTGACTCCCTGGGACGGAGCTGGTTCTGAATACGCCTCTCGGCTACTCTGTCATTTGAACCCAATAGTCGCGAGGGGCTAGACTTAAGCTAACCGAGGAAAAACACGAATTCACAGGCATTCTATCCCAAAAGCTGGTGTACACGATTTCCGGCGATCAAGAGGGTCACAGCGCCTAAGTCTACGGCTCGTGTTGAATTCCGACAGAAGACTACAACTGCCTTCGTGTCATAGTACTCTCGCCACTTACTGCGCACTCGAGCTGTTCTTCCTTTTGCTACATAGTTCAAGATATACACGAAAATTTTGCATCGAGCCGGCGTATTTATTACCCCGTTTAATTCCTGTTAATTTCCTTTCATCAAGAATCAATATCCCTTATATATTATTTCTAGCGGACGCTTTTATCGAGACTCGAGATTTTCCCGCGGTGAGTAGCCCGAAGTTGTGGCGGCCCTCTTTGCTTATCCATTTTGATCGAACTATCGCCCAAGGTGCCACGGCAAATGACACGCCACTCCTGTGTTCGATAACCTGGCTTCTACCATCTCATTAGCCAATTTTCGTCTCACAAGTACACAATTTTGTAAATGTCGGTCTGTTAGCAATGCGTCTACAGCGCATAGGGGAATGACGAAGTGTGTCGTCTACCTATGTCACAGACATCACTTTACTTCGGACCCTTGAGAATCATACTCTTTAACCAATTCGAACTGAGAAAGAATCTCGTCCGGTAACTAGAGGATGATTCATTTTTGGGGTTGATCGAATTTTTTGCCGAACTTGGAAGCTCTTCAAATTGAAATACCATGCAGCCAACAGAGGACATACCTCACAAACCACCTCTATCATCAACAGGCCACGCTCTTCCCCGACGAACTTCCCCGGAGAAGGCAATCACGCTGCGACACCATCAGCTCGCTCGTGATGCCTCCCCGAAAGCGAGTCGCGGGTCGGTCCCGCCAAATCAGAGCAGCCAAAATTCATCATCACCAGGCCGAGCTTTCATCGGAGGAGAGTAATGAAACTGGCCAGAGTGATGCCGAGGAATGGTTTAATCAAGCCAACCAAAATCCGACAGCTACTTTCGACAGCAGTGCCATGAATGGTGAGTACCTAAGCAGTAGCTTAATAGGTCACATATCAAAGTACTCAAACACAGTTGATTCGCCATTCTTTCAAAAAGAATCCGACTCATCCAACGAAGATAAGACCTTTCATTTTCAATCTTCCCCGCCTCGAAGTCAGTCTAAAGCTCGTAGTAGCAGCGCCGATGACTACCGAAGCGTTATCGATGATCTCACCATGGAGATCCAGAAGTTGAAGGAAGATTTGAAGCGCTATAAGCAGCGCGGTCCTGATGTTCTTCGAAAAGATAAGCTCTTTGAAATCAAGATACACGGACTGCCGAAGATGGAAAAACGCGAACTAGAGGCGACGCTTCGAGAATTTATAACAACTTTGGGAGACTCGCCCGATACATCCTCGTTGCAGCGGAACAAGAAATCTTCGAGGCATGCCAGTCGCGCTCGGATGTACTCTGGTACAGGATCCAAATCACAATCGAAGCATGCGTCGCTACCATCTGGATCTCATACTCAACCGATCGATTCAGCCTACGCGTCCATGTCGACTGGAGCTTGCTCCTCGGGAACCTCGTTGAACAGACCTCAGGGAGGCTCGCAGTTCAAGTCGAATGAACAGAAAGTAGAGAACTACTTACGCAACATCCCAGAGGGGCTGTATCCCCGTCTTATCTCCATGACAAACAAACAAAAGAAGAAGTTGGTGGTTCGGCGTCTTGAGCGAATATTCACAGGGAAGATTGGTAGCAGGTATGGCCGTCGAAGTCAGCTCTGTCAACCACCTGCTGTGTCCACCGCACCATCAGCACAGGCGACGGCGGTAGATCCTTCCCCCGAGCGGCCTATGGTGCAGGAACCAAAGCCAAACGTGAATGCCAATCCCAGTGCTAACCTCAATCCTGCACCTGAAACTATGCGCGAAGCCCGAACTCTTTTACAGGAACACCAATCTAGACATACGGGAAAGAACAACAATTCGCAGGACATGGGCTCGGCTTCTAATTCTAATGAAGATCAGATCGAGCCAGAGGGCAACGGCAACGGAAGTGGTAGTGGCAATGGTTCAAGGAGAAATCCGTCCCTACGTATGCCACCGCCTCCAGAGCAGCGACCTACGAGGCCCAGAGATCTCGACCCCGATCGCGCCCAAATACCATCCGAGAATATGGAGTACATAAGACGTTTAGTTCTTGTTCCTCCGGAGTCAACAGCCACACCACTAGAACGACCAAACGATGACGTGCACCCTGATGAAGTAGGATGGGTGTATTTGAATCTCCTTTGCAACATCGCGCAACTACATATAATGAATGTGACGCCGGATTTTGTGCGCAATGCCGTTGTTGACCTGAGCGCAAAATTCCAACTATCACCAGACGGTCGAAAAATAAGATGGCGCGGAGGTAGAGACGGTACCAAGTCCAGTAGTGATAGCTCAGGCGACCTTTCACAATGGAGCCCAGAAACGGATGACACGGAAAACACCAAAGGAGACCACCATAAGAGAAAAAAGACGGGTCGCTCAGACTATAACCCTTCCAAACCTGGACCACAAGTTTCGGCATCGTCCGAGAACTTCCACTACAAGCCTCTGTTCCATCATCAGAAGTCGCCTAACGAACAATCATCGAAGAAAGAGAGCACGCTGTCGTTTTTCGGTTCCACCGAGGAAAGCAATACAGACTCATGTGGCCAGAGCGGCTCTGGTGCATCCAATCGTCGTAAACACCGTCGCAACGGTACTATCATTTACTATAGCGGTGCCCCGTTTTGTACCGACTTATCGGGAGACCCAGGGGATATCTCGCCAACGACGTACACGCTATCAGGCGATAGGGAACGGTTGGTCCCCCAAATGCAGTTCGTCCGCCCGATGCCTTTCCGACCGGGATCATGGTCTTCCATGAATAGGCGACCATTAAGCGACACTAATCTTGACCTTGGCTCCATGTCCAAAAAGGATGTCAACGACGGGGCCGGCATGCCGGAGCTCGTGACCGAGTCGGGCGATGAATCCAGCGAATTCAGCATGGAATTCCCCTGGAGTGATGCACAGCAAATACTTGAAGTTCATCCTCTTGAATCATGTGGTCTAGGTGGTGTGCTACCTGAGGATCACTTCATGGTGATGGTTACGACTAGGCGATCGAAGATTGATGCATATGTCAATCAGAGGAGCGGGGGTCAGCATAAGTTGCGCAAAGAGACGACGGACAACATCACCAATGGGTTGGCCACTATGTCAACATCGTCGCCTCGTCCGTCTGTTGATCGACTGCTGGCGATGGATAATTTGTCGACAATCAAGATCGATTACCTGTCAGGTTGCACCCGGCGCTTGGAACCAGTACCGCTTCCGCCACCTGCCATATTCTTTCCACCTCTTAGTGCAGATTCATGGTCTGAGGACGGGTTCGGATCTGATGATGATGAGTTTACTCCCTCGGAAGAGTTTTTGGAGCTGAAGAGCAAACCCGCATCAGTCGGATACTTATCCCAACGGAGTAGACTTGAGCAGCGGTGATGCCTGAATAGCTAGGTGCTCTCTCATGAGCCTCAAAAGAAAACCCGAGATTAAAAGCTTAATATTAACGATTAAAGTAAATAAGGATCATTTACCGTAAAGGTTTTATATGGTTATTGACGGTCTGACTGCGACTGTTGAGTAAACGTAAAGAAGATCCCAAGTGGATTTATAATTAGCTCTCCAACTATGTTACAGACTACTTGAAATTGTACTTGGACGGTACTTGTGCCATGAGCGGAGGTACAAGCCTAGCTAAATATGGATGTTAACTAAAATCTTTAACTAGTGAAACCCGCGACACCCGTTTCGAATTTTACGGTAACGGAACCAGCGTCTTATAAGGGATCTATCTGCAACGCAAACCTACGGCACAATCACGATCGTCCGGCCCTGCTGCGAATAATACGCCGGCAACATGAATGACATGCTCTTCCCGCCCCCCGCCGCTGTGATCTGCACCATCGGACTCTCTCCTCGTACGACGGCGCTGATGGCTTCCCTCTGGCCCGGCCGGAACCTTGTTGTTTTGCCCTTGATTGCACTCCAACATGGCTGATATATCGACCTGTCGCAATGCCTCTAATCTCCGCAACTGCACGCTCTGTCGGCTGCTCTCGAAGTTGTTTCGCTGCCTCCGCCGATGCGCGGCGGCTATAGCCTCGCCCTGTACGCCGCCCCGGCTGGTGCCTTCCTGGCCGAAATCGAAAATTTGATGCCATTCCCGGCTGACCTCGCGGTACTTCCCCCGCATCAACGCCGTGCCGCCTAGCCCTTGCTGCATCTCGCGTGCGTATATCATGCCCGCCACGTGCGATGTGTGCGTGGTCGGTAATCCCGGGCGTCGCTCACGTCGTCAACTCCGTCTTCTTCTTCACCGTTCTCGCCCGTGTACGACGTGTCATGCCTGATGCTCAGATATCTGTTGGATATGGCAATCGCAATGTGTCGCCAACTGCTGGTGCTCAACCTGTGCCCCAATAACCGCTTGCTATGTTCCTGGATGACATGCCGGATACGATCGGATGACCACCTTGCCTCGTAGAATGGCCGCATTGTCGGCTCCAACTACGTCTTTAGGGAGAGGGGCGGAAGTGAAGTTGATTGCAACGAAAGCTCGGACGGGTATGACAGCGACATAAAAGGCTATACACAAAGCAGACGACCTGGAACGCAACGGGCACCCGAATATGCCGAGCTAGATGGGATTTTAGGAAGTGTCTTTGCTTCACTGGCTGTAGAGTTACACCGGCTGTGGTTGTGATTTGATAGTAATGTTGGACATGTGCGCTGCTATAACTTAGGTAGATCTCTTTCTCATCGCTTGCTAGATTTACTATGCCATAGTCTAGACCAACCGTACCACTTTAAGCAATGATAAAGGGCCGTCTCTGCGGCAAATGGAAAGGCATTTCTATAAGAGCAGAAAGTAATTCGCGATCCCTGCTCCTGTACGCCTCCCAGCCAGTCCTTTCTAGCCAAGGCCGCTATTCAGCAAACGTGAAGTATCAAATACAGAAAGAAATTTGACAAATTTATCAAAGGATGAATTTCATCATAGCTTTTGAACCAAACAATCAAATCTTAGTACCATATTTGATTTATATAATTTAACGGCAGCGCTGCCAGCCCCAGCCGCCCGTTAAGGTGCTCGTCTGCACGGCGATGTCAGGATCGGCCCTAGATCCGTCGACGTAGATACGCGAAGGCCTATAGAATTCATGATGCAACTTGCAACCAACGAACGTACCTGGGAACTAGATTGGTCACAATCTCATGATATTAAGAATGGGTTTTTCTAACCAGAAGAAGCTAAGGTAGCCGCCACTGCAGCTTTACCGACTGTAAAGTCAGTGTTACTGTCCATGATCCAAATATAACATGTCTATATCTGAAAGAAACTGCCATTATAGGATCAAGCTTGTTGTAGAATCCGTATATTTTGGCTTCTCTTGAACTCTAGTAGCGAGAATAAGGGCCAAGTATTTGATGTTCAGAACTAGAACTTGATGTCCAAAGAAGTTCGGCTTTGTTTATCATCATGTTTATTGCCGTCTTGGTGGGAGAAGCCGAAGCCGGACTTCGATTTTAGGTCGCGGGAGTCTGTTTAATCATGACATATCAGTAGAGTTTTGGAGGACATCTGGAGGTGGCCTTTTTGAACATAGCGTGTATGGCATTGCTCAACGATGCGAGCTGTGTGTGCATCCAGTGCATTTATTGAGTCTAATCGTTTAATGGAAGGTAATTTCGGATCTTGCGAGAAAAGATTTGGCTTCGTCCGCTGGGCTATTATCGCACATGAGCAGGGCTTTTTTGTTCTTAATCTAAATATTTACTTTTCTTTCCCCGCCTCTGCATTTGCGCTGATTGGATAGAAGAACATGATTTAATAACAAATGGCTCGTAAGATGACATCGGTTTGGAGCGATAGTTAACTCGAAATTGCGGTCCTTGACTTGACACCTCAAGCAAATAACTATGATTAGGGTGAGAGCCTTGCAAGTGGCGTCTCAATAATGCTATTGTTCCGTGTGTGGCCCCGCACGCCACACAGCCGTAATCATTAAGACAAATCGGCTGATTAGAAGGTAAGAGATAGCTAACGCGACCCTCATTTATCCCAACATGACTAATTTGTGAATGCCGCTTCCTTTTTTTCGAGTCGCTCAAGGCTCTCAAGCTATCCGGCCTATGTCTCTCGCGAAGTTTGGATAACCTTGAAGAAGTTTGTGCACCCTTGGAGATAGCTATGCCGTCGTTACCTGTCTCGACAACTGGTCTGAGAGCGAACAAGCCATCTACAAGCGTATGGTCAGTTGACCAGCATACGTCAATTTCCATGGTATAATCAGTAGGAACCAGGACTTCGCGGGTGATCGTAAATGAAGATAAGAAATGCCTGCCGGAAATCTGGTTGAACTGGTTTGAGAGGACCGATTCTTCACCGTAAATCGAGAAGAGGGGGGGAGAGGGTGCGGAGGTGCCGCAGTTATCCACACCTGATGGCGGCCAATATTGGTTGTATGAAGCTTCTAACTCGAGTCTGAGGCTGTAGGGCTCTGGCAAGCCAAAGTTACCGTCCGCCGTTCGATTAATGAAAATATTTTCTTCGCAAATGAAGAAAGGCCTAGGTAAGACGATATAGATGACTCGATGAGGACCTGCGGTATTGTTGGACGCGATAACATCGCAAACTTGAGTCTCACAATATGCAAGTTGAGTTTTGTTGGGTCTTAGTCTGGAAATGGTGATTATGCAGCGGCCTTTGGTGGAAAATTTCTTGCTAGGGAGACTTTTAGTCTCCTCAGGATCCTTGTTAAGCTTGTGAATCTTGTGATCCTTGTGGGCGATTTGAAGAACATTGACAAGTAGAGCACATCTGGAATCCGGGACAGTGGTGAGATAGCCGGCATCGAGCGAGTCGGAGGAAGGGACGCGCAAACTCTCGCGTGGCGGGCTATTACGATCAATGTCATCTAGCTTTTCGCCGATAGGGGCTCGCCGCCGAAGATTGGGTCTCCCCATGATCAGGATGAAACCAACCTCAACAAAAATGGTGGTCTACGAGGCAGCGGGCAGCCCTAAATCTCATTACGACCAACAACGTAATGAAGCATTGAAAGCCGTTCATTGATACAGTATACTGCCTGGTAGTCAACAATAATAAAGTCATGAGGTGGGAGTCAGGGGACGGAAAAAGAAGGAAAGAAAAAACTGCGAAATACTGGGGCAGCTGGTAGAACGGGCTCGACGCGTGTGCGAAGTGGGCGAGACTGCCCGTTAGGTCCACTTTTAGCGGCCGGCAGCATATTAGCCTCATTGCTACAGGCGATTTTGACTCGTTTTTGGTTGGGACTTGAAAGTGCAGCGTTGCATCGCACACCTAACAATCGTTAGATCTCATGTCTAACATTTTCCTTATATTGGCGGACCTGAAGCTGTGGCTTGGATGTTGATGGCTTTTATTATTTCTTTTTCTTTTGTCTGGAATTGATATCTAAATATATCGATAAATTATAATCGATTGTCCGGAAAAACATGTCTGAGAGATATGCTTGCCATTTCATCAAGATGACAATCATGGCCCTGGCAAATCTAAACATTATTTCTGCTTGGCAAAGCGGGCACCGTTCACTGCAGCGTGGCATTACAAAGGGGCTTGAATCAGCGAGAGCGAAGAAATCCCGTCCGTTTCGCGCTGGCATTTCCCAAAACCAGCTCACAACAAACCAAGAATAATAATGCATTCGCCGCCTGTTTGTCAGCCGAATTAAACTGCTCGACGAAGCAATATAGCCATGGCGCGGGGTCGAATTTCTACTCTTGTTGTGCAAAACGGTGATGGTAACTACAACGATGTTTTGGTAAAGAACCCCCCCTCCTCTTTACCCTCCTCCGAAGGGAGAAGAAGAAATTTACGAGAACGATGAAGTAGCCTCTAGCACCACTCGACCTTCTTAACAGCCAATGCGATATGCTACAGGTAGAGATTCCCAAGTAATGGATTTACTGGCTCCGGTTTTCGGAAGCTCTAATTTGTCACGGCATGAGCAGTGCTCTTTTGCTTTAGAAAGATAATTTAAAGGCAATGTTGTAAATTACATCGTAGTCTCTCATAGTAATATGTAAGTCTTCGCCCACAACAATGGAGCTGTCCTACCCTCGTCGCGTACTCAGACGGCTCTCAAGATGAGCTCGGCAATACAGGATGGGGAGCGATTACGTTTCCCAAGGCCCGTACGACCAAGTCCAACGGGCGCCCTCCCGAACGCAGACGTATACGATGCAGAAGCAGTCGGAGCCTTCGAGGGGATCAACCTCGCCGAAGAACGGATCCGATCCGACCCGGACATTGAAGAAGTCATCCTCTTCCTAGACAACTCAGCGGTCGTGGACGGCATCCTCGGCCTTACACCAGCCTCTTCACAAGGAGCCTACATGGGCCTCAGGACAATCGCTAAAGACCTCCAGCCAGGAATCCGCACCAGAGTGGCTTGGGTCCCAGGGCGCAAGGACATACACGGCAATGAAACAGCAGACAAACTCGCAAAGGAAGGATCAGAACTTCCGACACTACCCTCCAAGACTGCCACAATAACCCATATTAGAAGTTGGACTAGAAGCGAGAGGAGACGGCTCCGGGAGCTAGACTGGGACGAGAACCAACGGCTTTACTACAGACGCTGGCGATTAGATGCTCTCCCCAAACCACCGGAACTACAGCTACCTAGGGCCATACTTCACCGGCTGTATGCGAGACTTCGTCGAATACCACGAAAGATTCGGACACGACACCAGGCCCATCTGCAAGTACGGTGAGCCAAGAACGCAAGGCCATTTTGTCGAGTGCAGAATGGTCCGACACTTCCTACTGGATGTCCCCAAAGAGGACCTCCGGATACGCAACACCCCCCTCACCTATCTACTAGGCCCCGACGGATACAAAGACTTTCAGACACTAGTGGAAGACACGAACCCTTATGGCCCTGCCCCACAAGATACAGATTGACCCAAACACTTTCCTTTGTTCCCTTGACACGTAGCGAACGCGGACTCTGAACCAGCGGCTCCTGCCGTCCTATTGCCCAGAAGGGATTTATGTAATTAGCTTCTTAGTGGACGTTAATAATAAAACAACAAATAGAGTAATATATAATAACTATCTTTACTGATTCCACGCGTAGCTATGTCTATACTAACAATTGTTAACGCCACCCACTGAAAGAAACCTGAGGCTGTGGGGGGTTACGTTTTTCGGAGTACATGATATATTCAACCGCCAATGAGTTAACTTGTTTTAATACGGCTTGTATACTGTCTTTAGCAATCAAACGCTGCCTATGCTCATAGAGAGCGTTGATAATTGCATCTCGAATTCCCCTATCGCTCTCTATTGTCGAAGAATAAGCTTCCTCGATTGCTTCATGGAAATTGTCGGTATCCCAGTGGCGCGAAACGGCTGCCTTAAATTTTTCTAGTGCCAAGACCTTGAGACCCTCGATTACATATTTCTCTGCAAGGGCATAAACTCTAACATGAAGGAGGAGATCAGATGGTTTAGCGATTTCAGATTCTTCGGTTCGGTCAAAAGGAGGCACGGGAGCGATGGACGATTTAGCGTCAATCGGTACGGCGTTGTGAGTATCATAGTTAAGACGGTAGAAATATTGAATGAGGCGGTCAACGGCCTCATCATCTTCTTCTTTCAAGTCAATAGTTGGTATAGGTGTCTTGTTGTGCTTGCAGGCTAACTTCAAAGCCGATGAGCGAGGACAAATGACGGATTTGTGCAAATTATATTGCCTCCCAGCAGAGATGATGAGGTCTGAGTAGGTGCCAGTTAACAAGAGCCTATTTAGCATTAATATAAATTCTGCTCGTCAAGCATTGAGCTTACTACCATCCATAGAAATTAGAAGCTCATTTTGTGGTCCAGCGTTTACAGACATGTCCACAGGGACTGCGTTTCGAAAAGTATGGTCTTTTGTTTGTTGAAGATTCGAAATCTCTGGAGTGAAGAGTTGGGGAAATATCACTTGGGCTCTGTCAGTGCTATTCCACTGAAATATCCCGTCTTTCAACAAGGAATGTATCGTCTCAATAAGCTGCGGCTCCGAAAGACCGGAAACAAATAAGTTTTTGGACGTGACAACTTCTTTGATCTTCCTCCGCTTGCGCAGCGCTGAATTGTTGAACTGAGTAAAAACGCGTCTGCAAGCCTCGTCGCGGTAAACACGCTCCTTTTCGGCGTCGGAAGGTATAAACATGAGAGGTTCATTAATCGTTTACCTTTGCGTTCAAAGCTTTCAGTATCGTCTCGGAAAGTACTGGGTCTTTTATTTCGTGAGACCCTTGAAAGCCGCAATACGCGCAATATGTATTACCCCGCATTGCCTTGGCCACTTTTGAGAAAAGCACTATTATTAGTTCGCCCAGTATTGCTACTTGGCAAAGATTACTAAGCATCTACAGCATTTACATTTCCATGCTCTGCACAACATTATGCGCTTTGCGCTTTTGCTTTATCGATAAAAAACCAACTCTACTGCGGGTCTTCTAAATCAACTTTACTAGAGTTGATCAGAGTCTTACCAATATAGGCATAATGCTTTATGCTTTTATTTAAGTAGTCCATCTACCAAAAGACTTTGGAAGAATAAACCCAACTTCTGGTACCAACGTCGTGTACCATTACTGCTTCTTGCATCTACATCGGCAATGTTTGCGTCCTTGACACAGAGTCGCGTCTTGGAGTCGCGAACTCACTTCGAGGATTCCCATGGCAAAGTGCTGTCTTCGACTTCGAATTGCACACCGGGTACATAGGCACGCAGGGGTGACGCAGGCACCTCCTACGACTCCATATACGTTTGCAATGCTCAAGGTAATTTTGAAAGGCAATTTTGAAGCTCTCAGCTTACTGGGGGCATGGCTGCTGCCACTAGGCATCCAACGCACTACCTTTTTGTTGCTGTTGAGCGTAGAAATTCGACATTTTCGTTTTTAGATCGCAAAAAGGAAAGGAACAGTTATTGCAGGAATATATATGGCTCTGATTAACATTACAAGATAAATTCGGCCCTCTAGACATTTATGTTGAGAAATAATATGGAGATCAAACGGACCAAACTCTCCCATGTGTCGCCCGTACTATTTCATGATTCTCGTGACGCTACTCGAAGTGCCGCTGTAAGTATCTACTAGAACTACGAATTCGCTTGTGGTAGTCTGTTCTAAGCCTCTCTTACATGTATCTACTCTATCGGTAGTACTATCCCTTTGCGTTGATCGTGAGACTTGCGTACCTTTGGTGATCTATTGCAGTGATGTGGTAAGATATTGCCCTGAAGTCACTCGCTTAACATCATTTTTATTATCGTCCGCTTCTACTACGTTCCGAGTGGCATTTGCGGCCTTTAGACAGTAGATTGGATGCCATAGATATATTTTTCTTCATCTTCTTCTTTTAAATGCTGAATGGAAAGGACCCTTTTTGAGCTGGTGTACCGGCTTTTGGGTGTGCCACGGATTTTAGGTTGGGTGCTCTCGCCTTTGAGCTGCTTATTACAAACTACGGCGAACAATAAAGCTTGAAGTGCTTCTACAAAGATACGCTCCAGCATGCCATTTGTATGATCCAGGCCTCGGTCAGGCTAATTGACTTCGAAAACTGTATAAACTAATAGATAATGTCTTTCTCGATTCAACAATCACCGGACACACCCTGTAAAGCTAGATAACGTAGCACGGCTTGCAATGATGCTTATAAAGTCCCATAGAGTTGCGACTGCGGCAGCAACGATATCGTCAACAATATATGTAGATTCTATATATCTTAATATATATATTATTATATATGTAAGTAAACGTGAAGGCGATGTCTCAGAATAAATAAAACATAACGTGTTTTTTTTGTTGTAGGCGAAGGCGAAATCCGCATACGACTAGATGTGCTATCCTCGCGCACGTAACGTATTCCACCCTAGAACCAATAATTCGATGGTAAAGCTCCACCGAGGAGCACACGTCGTGACTAGCTCTCATAGTTAGGCATCCCATTATCGGACTTATAGTCTACCACTTCCCATAGCCGCGGCAATGGAGTCGGCGACTCGCGAATAGAGAGCAGTGCCGATGCGCCCTGTAGCAGAGTAAACTGTCCGCCGAATGGGGACTGAGAATATACGCGCTGAAAAGATGAAATTTAGGGTCAAAACGGAAAGCAAAGAAGAAGGAAAGAGAGTTGAACAAGTGGGTTAGGTTCGGTACTCACCGGTGGTGGCAGTGTAGTATTTGAGCTGGCAATGAGGCATTGGGCTTGACCGCTCCAAGAGGGACACGCGAGCAGTGCGTCGGCTTTGGCTTGGTAGACGAGGTGGGCACTAGTCTAATACCGCGGAAGGATGAATTCATGTTCCTGGGCTAAGCTGGGAAGGCTAGCCGGTAGGTCTGGGTCCTCTGTGCGAATCGTTCTGCGTGCATGAGCTCGCCTCCATGTTTCTGGGGCACATCGGTTGGTCTGCTTTGCTGTGACCCGAACCCCAGAAGCCTTGCTAGACGATGTTGCTTCCGACTTGGATTGGATTTGTGATTTTATTGTTGCTACTGTTGTTGCTGCTGTTGTTGCTGCTACTGTTGACGATGATGATGATGATAAAAGGACACCGATTTGATCATATGGAGGGCCGCCTTGCACGTGTGAACCGTGGTGTTACCTTCCAGTTCTTTGATGACTCTTCAGAGTGATGGACGTATGGACGTACCTGTGCCACGAATCCTCGGAACGCCGCGGCTCTGCGTTTGATACGGCATATTAGCGCTCCCGCGCGAACCGCGAGAGTACGCGTAGCTGTTGTGGCTGTTGTGGCTGTTGTGATGTTTGTAGTTGTTGTGGTGTCTGTGGTGGTTATAGGTGCTGCCAATAGGATTCACGACGGTACGGGGGTATTAGTTTTGCGCATGAGGAATAGCCCTAGAGTCGAAGCAAGAAAATGAAACCACGGCTACGATCGAATCAACTGCGGTAGCAAGCTCCCAAGCGCGCTTTCGAGAGGTGTTGGCCAATACGCTCCTCCCAATCAAAAATATCCATAGATACACATGTGCATATTTACCGGCTGCTGCAGCTCCCACGTATGCTGTTGATTCGCCTCTCGAATTTTACCCCAGTGCAGGAATATCTGCTGCGCGCATGTCGTTGGCGTCTGCAGGCCCTCCCTCGCTCGATACTGCATGTACCTGCGTGTCAGTAGTATGTATGGGGGCATGTAATCACGGCCCTGGCCATTTTCTGTCCGCCGGGGCCTAAAGTCACAACGCAGGTTGGCTGCGAGCAATGGGTGCATCAGGAAGGGTACAAGGCATAACCGAATCTACACGTAGCTATCGGACCTTCTTTCGATTCGTAGCATTATGTAATATTTGAGGTCTTTGATACGCTGAGTCTACATATGACATGAGCACTGGAAGATAATATGGTCATAGCTTCAGCCTCAATTCGGGGGGAGAACGAATCTAACCCGCTGAACCACTTCATACGACAGACAATAGGTTTCGCTTATGCACGGATTTAGCGTTTACGCACGGCACAGGTTGGCGCTGCGCATGGCATGACTAGCGTCTTAATGGGTGGGAGAGCCTTTGGTAGTGCCTGAAAGATGAAGGCTCGTCAATTGATGTGAGACATGTGAGAGAGTTACCAAGCCTGGGTCAAATGGGGGGAATTGGGCATTGATGAGAACAGAGGAGAGACGGCAGAACAACTTACGACCAGCTAAACGGAGCATCACCCTGCTCCTACGCGTCCAGGATCGCGGCGGCTTTCGTGACAGCTTCGACCTCCCCCGATGCGGCCCCAGACCTGCCGTGTGCGCTCTGGCTAAGGCTGCGATGGAGTCCAGTTATATATTTACCAGCGAGCTCATGAACGCAACCGTTTCCGGCACCCACACGTCGCGGAACACCTGGCCGAGAAACATCGTCACCCCCCCTAGCCCTTCAATGCGTTGTCCGCCCAGCTCGGAGAACCACAGTTGGCTATGCCTGCTGGCTGCTACCGCCGGCCCGTAGTGGTATGCGAGCGCTGGGATGTGCATCAATGAGAGCCGGCCATCCTTGCCCCGAGGCCACCTCGCGAGATTGAGGATTTCTTTGCCTTTCTGCAGGTTGAGCATGCGAGGGGAGATATGCGGCCATCCCTGCGTGCGCAGGCCCTCCATCGTCCCGAGCAGCCCGAACACCTTGGACGGGAGCACCCTCGGGTCTCCGGTGAAGCAGAAGTGCCCCAGCCGATCGAGCGCGGCCACGCCCTCCGACGATGCCAGCCCGAAGCCCCTCGAGCCGCCCTCCCTGAAGCGACGGTCCATCTCCCCGATGGCGAGCTCGATCGTCCTCGCAAAGGCCGTCAGAACCCCCGGGAACACCTGCGGCGGGAACTTCCTGAGGATACTGGCATACAGCTGCTTCTCCTTGAGAAACAGCCGCATCAGCTGAAAGATGGGCAGCAGGATGCTGCCAAAATTTCGGCGTTCTCGCACCAGCCGCGCCGCGTCGACGGATATGACCTGCTCGAAACGGAAGGCGAACTCGTTCTCCGCCATGGAGGCTTCTACTCGCTGCCTCTCTCGCGCGAACGGCGTTGACGCCGCCGGGTTTTCTGGCGTCTGCTCCCCCCTTACCCGCCTCAACAGCCGCTGCTACTTTGCCCGCCATTGAGCTGTGCGGGCGGCCTCAGTCGCGGGGATGGTGAGCGCCGCCGTTGCTGAGCCCTGGCTGGCGAGGAGGTCGTCTTCCCGGTGGCGAAAGGACCGCTTGAGGTTCGAGTAGCCCTGGAAGAAGCCGAAGGAGAGCACGTCGGCGCCCTGGTTCTGGTGGCTCATGTTCGACTTCATCACCGTGAATAGGTTGTGGTCCAGGAAAGCAGGCGGACTGTCGGAGGTGAAGTTCCCATACGCCGGGTGGAAGCCGAGCGGGTAGAAGGTGTAGTTGCTGCCGTAGAACTCCTTCATCACTTGGTTCCGATCAGCCAGCAGGCAAACTGCAGACCCGGATTGATCTGCGGCGGCACAGTGGACGTCCACCGCCAGTGCATACGACACGTAGTCGATGTTGTCAATGTCGTACTTCTCCTCGAGGACCCGACGCAGCTGCTTGAGGCCGTCGCTGTACAGCCCATCTTGTTCGCCGGGGCCGTGGTCATCGAGCACGAACAGGGAGGAGTCTGATTCCTCCCCGTCTCTCGTCACCCTTTCCTCATCTTCCCAAGCTCTCTCAGCCGCCTCTGTGGTCGCTTCAGCTGCTTCTCCCTCTTCCACCTCCTCCGGCTCTCTTAGAAAGAGAGGCTTCGCATGTGCCGCCACTGTGTCCAAATCCATGCTCACAAGGGAGCCGGGCCTCTCGGCCAATGATATTTGAGCAGTCGGGGCAGAATGGCCGGTGCTGCTGCCCCTGGTCGATTCGTTGCGGCTTCCAGCAATCACCCACTCATAAAAGGCAGCGTCATTTGAAGCACCGTCGCCGGCACCGTCGCCGGCATCCAGGCCGGATGCAGGGCTTTCATCCCCGGCGTCCGCTGCGGCCTCTGTGTCGCTCTCTTCGCTGTCATCCTCCTGATCGGCGTATACTCTCGAATGGACCTCCCGTTCGAGCTTCTCAATGCCGGGGTTCACCTTGATCTCGATGTTCGCCCGTAGTCGTACGCGTGGAAGGCCGGCTGGTTGTTGGCCCAAAAGGGATCGTGCGACTGCCGCTCCACAAAGCCGGCCCAGCCCTCCATGAAAAAGTGCTGAAACGTCACCCACTTGCCGAAGGCAATCGTCTGCGACTGCTGACCTCCCAAAACCCACCCTGGCTCTACTCCCTCGCCGAGGAGTTCACCGCGGAGGAACACGTCTGTGATGTAGCACGCAATCGTCTCTGCGCGGTGCCTGGCGAGTGCACTGCGCTGCTTTCCCTTTATTTTCTGGCTGCTCGGCGCGGGAGCTTGTGACTGCTCAGAGGTCGGGTGCATCACGATGAACCAGACCTCTCGCGTCGCTCCCGTGGCAATGCGAAACGTCCTCCCGGCCAGATCGAACGGTATTCCCTCTGCATGCTTCGCGCTGTATGGAGCCTGCCACTGCCGGAAGGAGATGGTGATGTTGTCGAAGAAATGGCTCTCGCGGCAGATCGGTCGAAGCGGCAGCCCGATGATGCTGATGAAGTCGAGGCGGAATACAGGATAGTATTGATCTCCGCTGCCCGCCGCACACGACCCCTCTCTCTTGCTCCCATAGTTTAATGTGTATGACCGCTGCAGGATATCGATCGCTCGGGCGCCGTCGAATCGGGCGCGTTGACCTTTGCAATGCAATCGCGGACTATAACGATGTCGAGATGGGCTGTTAGAGCATATCCACATGCACAACGCGAGATTTCAATGGCATCAATAAGGACACAGAGACAAAACGATACGCCACGCCCCTTCGGAAAAGAACATTCACGTCCACGCTGGATTTGCTTACGCTTCATCTTATAGATTCCCGAGGAATGATCGATCTTCCATTTTTTCGGTGGCCGAAGCCCTTCTCTCTCTTCTAAACCCTGGCTGCTGCCGTGGCTTCCGTCCTCATGGCTATCTGCGAGGTAAATTTCGTCAATGGATGCAGGGGACACATAGCCACCTAGGCCATCTTCGTCTTCTTGGTTAAGAGGTGGCCCGAGATCACAATCGTCAGCAATCTCCAGGTTCAGTAGCATGGACATATTGGCAGATATGACCTTGCTTGGAGAGCTCTATTGCTTATGGTTGTGATTATAAAGTGCAGGCACAGGCTACTGTAACTTCCGAATAAAATATGCGTCAGGGAAGAGAAACAAAAACTATCACCGCTTCTGTGCTCTGTGTATTTTCATAGTGATTGTTTTTGCTTTGCCAATAAACCTCCTATGCCCATGCGAAAATGTTTATACATTATAGCAATGGCTATACTGTTCTTTCTAGCATTATGCAACAGATGCCTTACAATACCAGACGTAGCGCAGCCAACCTCGCTATGAGGTTGTCTCAGGCGTTGCCACCCAGGCGTTTCCTTTTCTTTTTCTCTTCCAAAGGTCAGAGCCAAAGACAAGGGTTATCGTAAGTTATGTGACGTAGAAAGTGGATGGTTACAGGCCATACTTGCATCAAAAGTAATCCTTTCGCGCAAAGCAACAAGGGGTTGCTGCATTACCTGACCTTTCCGACTATTGATATAGGACCTATAATCACTTTATTGGCTGTGTGCCTCTAATTACTCCACCGTTGGGTTATAAGAGCACCATAAAAAACAACCCCAGTTTCCATATGATTGTGGTGCTCTTGCAACTTCGACGGTGGCCATATCTTCACTTCCCAGAATCGATTTAATTGGGTAATGGTCTGATTTTGTGCATTTTGATTGATTATGCTTTTCTATTTACTCCATTGTCCAACCTGCAAGAGCACCATAATTAAATATCATAAGAGACAGAGATGAAGATAAGAACTTGGCCAAGGAGAAGCTATAATTTCACTTTGGCATTAATTGTTGTAAAGAGCAAGGTGATAGATATAGCACCTAGTGGGAGGCCTTTAGGATAATATATGAATGCCGCTGTTGCGGTAAGAGTAAGCAGCTTGATTATTCTGCATATATATATTACTTTATATATAAAGCTACTATATACTACTATATTATATATTAATATCTAGAACTATTCCAATTCACTACATTTTTTTTTTTTTAATACTTAATGTAAATATATACTATATATAAACAATATATAGGGTAGAGCTATATTAGTTATAATCTACTTACAATTGCCAGATGTTGCAGCAATTCCAGATGCCCAGGCTGGCGTTCGTGCTGGGGCTGCTTGTTGCGATGATCTCTGCCCATTCCGCCCATTCTGCCCAGTTGATTGGCGCGGTCTATTGCTGGAAATATTGGAGTGCTGACTTCTTGATGGCCCATGTTTTGAAATCCGAGACCCTCTAGACTTTACCTCGCCTGGGCGCTGGGGATGTGACGAGGCTGCCGTGAGCCTTCCCGAAGGAAGCGGGCGACGAATCACCTGCCCGTTGCCCTTATACCGTTTATCTACCGTTGCGTTCACGGCTTGTAATTCGGCTTCTATGTCTGGTTCTGATGCGCTCAACGAGTCTGCGGCGCGGCGCGGCTGAAGCGGCAGAGCTGAATTTGGACCCGAAGCTGAGTCTTCCTGCGGTCCTCGCGTAAGATCCTCATATCTTTCTCGATCTGACTCAACCCGACGTATCTCTGGCACGTATCTTGGTCACGACAACGACGGCACAATCTGCGCGAAACGGGCTTCCCACTGGATAAACGAATATCTCACGGTAGATAGGGATGAGAGTGGTGGTCAAATATTACACGTATTAGTGAAATCCACGACGACAATGGGCATTGAACGAATAGAACGAATGCAAGTGTGCCTCTCGGAAGATGGGAGATCATTGGTCCCACGGAAAGAAGGGGGGGTGGTCTGGGATTTCATTGATCTCAAGTATTACCAGCAGTCTTCATCACTTGTGTATCCCGGCATGAAACGTGAGAAATTACGATGAGATTTTTCTATGTGTGTTTTGTTCAAATATTTATACACTTATGTGACAAAAGTCTGCGAAAAAACAAAGCACTGTAGCCGGCAATGCAGAGATTTCGCATCTCTATTCTATATTCTGCTAAATCCAACACAATAGACTAAAGATTTTACACTTTTCTGATCTTGAATGATAACTTGTAGCAGTTCACGAGCCCGTGCTGATTAGTTAACATCACATGTTCCAGTATGCTTACCTTGCGCCACCAATAGCTGTTGGTCTTACGCCTGCCATCCTGATAGAGCAAAAGTCTGTGTCATCATAATTTCTGTGCTCCATGCGGCAAATCCAATTTTCATACACACCTACCGATATTGGCGACTACTCCGCACGGAGTAGGATAGAGGCGATACGCATTTTCCTGACTAGCTAGTTTCTTTAAAAATTCTTCAACTTTTGATCTCTTCATTGATGATGCCAAGACAAAGCCAAATCATGTCTCTAATTCCCATTATGCTCCAGACGTCTACTGGTACAGAATATTACAGGCCAGTATTATCGTATAACGAGCCAATGTTGTAGATAACAGCGTAGAGCACGCACTTTGTCTATATTTGCCACCTCTTCTACTAATTGCAAACAAAGAAAGATGCTGTCTATGGGGCTTCTTTTGCTGCTACACATTCTTTTACACTTAATTTTCATCAATCAGAACCTCAAGTTGATGCCCTCGAACCTCCGCCATCTCCTTCCAAAGCTCAACCACGTCTTCGGCCGGTGTATATCCCGGCAAGCTTCCCCAATGTGCAGTGCCAACACCTTTATCCGCATCATGTTTATATAGGAAAGCATGGTGCCTGCGACCCCACTGGATCGACCCATCAAAGGTAACAAGATACAGCTCCTGCAATGCCGGCATCCGCCGCACAGCCCGGCCACGCCTTGGTGGATATGATCCATCTCGGTCGCCACCGGCCGGGTCCGGAAGTCGTACTCGTACATGTCCTCGGGCGCCGGCACCTCTCTGACCAAAGAGTCTGGGTGGTACTCGTCAAGGTCCACCACTGGCGAAGGGCGGTCGAGCGGCGAGTCTTCCGGATTAAACTCCAGCAGCCACGTTCCGTGTGGTGTCACCGCTGCGTAAGTGACCTCAAGCTGCTCGAGATGTTCGCTTGCCGCTTCCTCTTCGTCAGAAGCCGCCGCATAGAACATCTCTGGCGAGATCACGACGCCCGAGAGGAAAAGCCGCTTAAGCTGCCGTGTCCAGGTCCGCATACCACGCGCAAAGGCATCGTCTACCCCACGCGCAGTAAGTATCGGTGGGATGCTGGAGTGATCTTTTGGTGCCTCGTAGCTGCATGTAAGCGTCACCTCAGCGTTTGGACAGCGCATTCGGGCGAGGGCATCGCCAATCTCTATTCAGTAAAAGTAAGCGGCGTATTCCACGATTTTGGCTCGACTGGTTAAGCGACTTACCGTCCCGCAGCCGTTTGCGCAGCTCCAGATCCTTCTTCTCGTTCTCCCAGAAGTTAATGCCAATCTTCTTAGCGTTAGGCAGGCTGTTAATGATGAGCGCCCATGCTGGTGCAGAGATGTGCCGCGCCTTGCCTGAGATTACCTCTGAGACGCTTTCGACGACTGGCAGGTCACCGGCGGCCGGGAGCAGCTGGAGGATAGAGTGGATGTATCGGTCAGTATAGATGTCATGGTTCTTGATATCCCCATCTCGCCTCGTCATCTCTGCCTTGCCACAACGGCCCACGTCGCTAGGCGAGAAGGCTGTGATGCGCAGCGATATGCCCGCCCTTTCTCTATGGAGGCCGCTGTTTCCAGGCGTCCAGCGGCTGAAGATGTCGAAGAACAGCCGCAGCGTCTCGCTGAAGAGGGAGCTGTTGCGCGCAGTCTCCTCGGCCGTCTCAAAGTCGCCATACACCTCGGCGCCATACGGCTCCAGCTCCACGTTGAGGTCCACCGTGCAGACGTATGTCCGACGCCGCCGGCATACGATCCGGTCAACATCAGCGAGGCGGGCCCGGCTCAGCCGCAGGTTGCGGAACGTGCGGCGCTCCACCAGCTCCTGCCACTCCTTGCAGACGCCGGCATATTGGGCGGTGCCGGGGAGATTGGCGTAGATGTACCGGAAGTAGCGGCGGCGCCGGTCCAGGCACAGCAGGTCGATAATGCGCTCCGTTATCTCTGGGGGCAGCGGCCATCTGTTCTGTGTCATTGCTTCAAGGCGCTACTGTGTGCGTGCTGGAGGCAGACTAGGTGTGAATAAGGTTGCACGGATTAGCGGCAATGCGCGGGAGTTATAAACAGCAAGGTTAATAATAGGCGGGCGCCGGGCATCTTTGTACTTAGGCATACTGTAGCTAGGTACCTACATGTATCCAGGTGCGCAAAGGCCCCGCAATATTGCATACATACATGTACATGTATATTGCAGGCTGCAGCTCAAATCCTTCGGTGCAGGAGCCCCCCCTCTCTTGTAAATACGTGATGCTGCAAACAAGTCAAGTATCCTTTTAGGAATGTGAATTACTTGTGGAACATTCACCAAGATCTAGTAGATCGTTACAGCCACATGAGGCTCATAAAATGATGAATCAATATATACTACATCCTCATCTCGCGGTATACAAGTAAGCTGGAGATTAAGCCCAACCACACCCTGTTTCCCCCTTTTTCTTTTCCCACAGCCTTATCAGACGCCAACGCACACATTATAATTCAGCCACAAGTTGTTGCAGTTGTTAGTAATGAAGTTCGCATCCGTTATGCTGTATTGCTTCTTGATGCTAGCGCAAGAGTCGGTCGACGTGATCAAGTGAAACTTCTTGCAAGTAGAGATGGTCCCGGGCTCTGTCCCGTAGCCTGGGAGGCTGCTGGTTGTCGACGTCGGCTTCTTAGATGTGGTGGTGGTGCCGCTCACTGCCACGCACTCACTACTATATATTTAACACCTCAAACTAGAAGCTAGAAATGGTATAAAATAATTAAGAATAAAACTTAAGTATATTTTAAGGTCTTACATATTGTCTCATATATTAGTTAATGTGTTTTTATTCTTCGTTGCTGTGAAATTTGAACTTCAATTCGTTGACCTCGCCGTCGATGATGGATGCTAGCCAATCAGATTTTAGCCGTCAAAACTAAACTCTTTGAATTTCGCGGTCACAATTAAGCCTACTTAGGAATCCAGCACCCACCTTATACGCTAATGGATGACCTAGCCAATTGGAGGCCGGGTCTTAGCAGTCTTACATGCACACCCCTATTCACAGCATATCACAAGTTCTCTTATATATTTCTCAGGTAAAGAACCAAGAAAGCCTTGATTTCTATATTTCCTGCTTTTTTAACCTGTAGACTAGAAACCTATCTGCCCTCCTAACCTATGGATTAACAAATTATCTGCTTTTCTAGCCTATACATTGAAAAGGCCCCTGAGCTATGTCACAACTGACTTCTATATCGACATCGGAAAGGAGACTTGCCCTCAGCAGTTTTCGAAAGCCATACCTTGGGATGCGCTGGCGGCTGGTGGAAATGATGGCCTGGCAGATATACAAGCCGAAACGCTACTATACAAACGATGCTGCCTAGAATCATATTCTTCTCAGATTAGCAATTCATCCACTGATGAAGGATCCCACAAGCAGGTGTTTTATCCGTTTACTATGCTCCATGATAGCGGGAGCTTGACGCTTGAGACTAGGAATCGTTCCCAACGCCGCACTGCTAGTCTTCTCTTACTCTCAGTTCTACCCCAGTGTTAAGGAAGTCTTTGCAGCAGGAAATGTGTATCCATTTACAAACACAGCTACCAACTGAAAGAACTAAAATATCCGCGAGCTGTCAACCTCTGCCCCTGGTATTTGCCCAATGATTGGTTCGCAATTTGATGATCTGATCAAAAAGACCTGTGAAAACGATTTAGGCACGATAGCTGATATGGTATATGACAATGTAGTCCTGGCCCGTACCGTAAATCGCCCAAAACACCCCGTTAATTCTTTCGTCCTCCATTCTTCGGTATCGTGTCGCCGGTAGGGTGCCGTTTCCCGCTGCCAGTTTGTTATTATTTTTTGTTATCTAATTCTCCTTATATTATGTTCATATAAACCATTGTCCCAGATGCCTTGAAAAATTGTGGAAAGCATCGCTATTGCTGCCTTCCGGAAAACAGGAATGCTAACGCGAAAAAAAAAATCTATTCCCAGTGTCTATCTTCACCACAGAAGAGTATATCTGCGTGGAGGTGCCTCACCATTTACTCAATGAGAGTGTCACACAGCAGGCAATACACTGGTTCCATCCACTTCTTCTCTCCTCCCTCGACGCCTTCTCTTAAATCTGTTACCTGCCAGACCGTGGGGCCATCGTCTAACTTGAGCGTTGCCTCGAAAAGCCTCCCCCAGGGCTTCTTTGACGACTTCTTGCGCGTTCCTCGCTTTGTCAAGGCTGATTTTGAAGACTTATCCGAGGGTTTGGCGGTGCCGGTGTTGGAGTTTCTGTGTCCTTGGACGATTCGTCATCTCGCTGCTTCAAGAGTAATTGATCCTTTGCCTCGCTGTTGGTGATTATCGGCGACTTTCTGTCTTCTCCCTCGACCGAGGGGCTCAGCAGGCCGTACCGCAGGTCTCCCTTTGTCCCTTCCTTTGGCTCATCCTTTGTAGCCTCCTTCGTCTCCTCCTTGATGGCCGGCTTTTCCGACTTGTGGGGGATATCCATCCCCAGTCGATCGTACACTCGGATGAGAACATCGTCGAGCAGGCAATCGTAATGCATCCATTCCTCGCACGTCTTATTGGAGCAGCCTACTAATGTTTTATCGGGATTGGAGGGAGTCCTACATTTGCAGACAAGGCCGACCGACTATTTGTAGCGATGTTAATATTACCTATACTCAAGGCAGAACGGCCGCTAAAGCAACTACATACCGATAGCTCTGACGTCCCGCAGTTGAACGCTTGTCTCCAATACAGAGACTCCTGTATGTCGTCATCGTTCGATTCGATCCACTGTTTGACGTTGACGCCCATTTCGACACTAACAACATGGATAATATCCACTACCTAGATGTTAGAGACACAGCAGGCACTCGTTGATGCTCGGGATGCTTTACTGTGATTGGAAGCGACCAGCTCATGCCGTCCATGGTATGGTTGACGACCAGCGATTCGCCTCTTGCCATCCAGAGTACCCAGAGGCAGCTCCTCAGGCCAGTACATCCAATACACGCGGGCGTATACGTGATGCTCGTCCGAGGCCCGAACCTCCAATATCCGGGCCACCCAGTAGTTTTCCTTCATGTCAACTTTGCTAGCGCCGGCAAGCAGTGAGTTTTGTCGTTCCATGGTTGCCTCGGTCGTTACACGGACGAAATTATACTTGACGCCCTTGACTAGACGGATTCACGCTTAGTTAGCTGCTCGGGGCCTAGAGGCTGACGAGGAGATACGGGAGGTAGCACTTACGAATGAAGCTGTTGTAGCGCGTCATATCGAGCCATTGCTTGCTGGGATTTACGGTGTAGCAGAGCTTTAAGGAGTGGCTTGTCTTGAATTTGCCTTCGGGATGGAAGACAGCATTCTGCGTCTGAAACTTTTTATTGGTGTCCTCTTCGGGTTTATCATGCTTCCTCTTCTTCGACTTAGAGCCATCTCTGTCGCTGGGCTTCGGCTCTGGGACAACGGTAATGGTGAAGAAACAGTCGGCAAGATTCTCGTCCATGACGGTACCATCAGGAGGGGCGTGGCCGTCCGGAGTAGAGCGAGAGCGCTTTCGGGTCTTCGAGCTCATCGTGGGCCGTGGGCAGCGCGCGCCTGCGATGTTGCGCAAGCTGGGATGTCGCGCGTCGTGGGAATTTAGGCGGTCGGCAATAGGTGCAGCGACTCTTTTGGCGAGCCGCCGTTTCTGACAAGCGAACAGGACTTGGGTCGGTTTCGGCCTATCTCGATGTAAACATAAGCGCACGCCGCCCCGATAAATATTACAGTTAAATCGGGAGCAAAATACAGCAAGGTCCATCAAATAGGATTCCTACTACGCACAGACGTCTAGGTGACAGCTCCAGCAAAGGCGCGCGGGGTGGAGCTCCACTGCTGGCCCTACCAGAAGATTGGCTTGGATTGGAAGGTTTGGTTGTTTCTCCATTGTTTGAAGATGGCAAGCGCGTCTGACGGGTTATTTTCAAGTGCGACAGCGCGGTAGCCTTTCCCCTATGATATCTTCGGATACATGGCAGATCTTCGTACGGGAGTACGTCATGGTTTTTCGTATGGTTTCCGCTTACAATGGTATTAAATTTGCGTTGCCCTAGCATTTTTGTGTAAAGTTATATATAATTAGAAAAAGAAGGGTTGTTTTCGACACTTTAATTTAGTCCACCAACCTAGTTTGCGAATGCTCCACACCTGCAAATCCCGACGAGATGCTAATCGGCTGTAACAAATCGGGCTGCGGGGAGTTCATAATTGTCTTCTTGATAATGTTCTAGAGCGAGTGTACCATCAATTGGGGAACCATACGCCCCGCAGGGTAGATGACTCGTCTGTGAACGTCGAGGAGACAGAGAAGAATCCCCTTGGCCCTGAAACACGGGATGAGGAAGATGGTAACAAGAGGCCATCATTTGTCCCTGGCAAAAAAAGGAAGCAGGCTCTAGTAACGCAAGATGATATGATGCCGGGAGTAGCAATAGTCCAGACGAAGGCGCAACTCATAGTGGGGGCCTCCGGATTGATGCCGGCCAAGCGGAGGCGGCGACGCAGGAAGCCAGAAGCCAAGATATGTCCATCCTCATTTTTCTTTTAATGCCTTTTGACTGAGCAAGCCATTCTTGCTCCTCAGTCTCCACGTATAGCGCATGATCCTTCAAGTACTGATGAGTGTAGCGCCCGCTATGTTCCACTCGACGTCGCACCTCCAATACAAGTACTTCGTTTGTCATGAATTCAGATACCGCATCATCAAGAGATTTGTCCTATAGCGGGCTCGAGAAGTCATACTTCCCCGCAACCCCTTGCTTCTCAAAGATGCGTTTTATCTCGCCGGGAGTGGTGAAAGGAAACAGCTTCCAGACGGAGTTGTCTTTGTAGAACTTGGGGAAGGCGATGTCAAGTAGATGGTGCATCTTACCGCCGCGAGCGAGCTTGTCCTGCGGTTTGTCTGGCTTGATAATATCGAACCCCCAGTTCGTCATTGTGGCGGGCGTCCAGTCCTGTTTAGAGTCGAGTTAGTTAAGGAGCTGCTACCATTGCGGCCATTCTGGGCAAGCATGGACATGGAGAAACAAGGGCGAGCATACAAGTGTATAGAATCGATCACCCCTAACCAAGGTAACAGCATCGCTCAAGACGGCCCTAACT